GGGTTGTGCCAGGTCTAGTTGTATTCCTGATCTTCTTTCTTGTAATATATTGAGATAACAGGGAGGAAAAGGGAACACTTTTTTTTTTTTTTTTTAGTAGATCTGCTTTATGAAGATAGAAAGTCTCTTCTAATGTCTGTTAATCTCTAAGGGCCTTTAATTTATTCTTTATACTAAGATGTCATATTTTGGGATGAAATTTCCTGAACTCTTAGACTCTTAATACTTCATTTTCATACTATAAATGGTGCTGTCTTTTCCATATTAAAACACTCCACGTATTAGATTTGCTATCAGTTCATATTATAATATTATTTTCACTTAAAATCTTTTGGCCATTTTGCTTATTGAAATGTTCAACATATTTTTCAAAATTCAATAGAAAATTTACTTTAAACAATATCTGTTTACTTCAATATCCTAATATTAGTACATATTGTTTGTAATAACTATACAATGGCATTGGAAGATTTAAATAAAAAGTATGTCAGTGAAACTTATTTTTGTTAGAAAAGTAAATGATTTACATTAAAAAAAAATAATAATAAAAAAGGTTTCTGGGACTTCCAGTTCCAAAAAGGTGGTGTAGTGGCAAGCTGGCTTCATTCTTTCCCCCTCTAAAAACAAAACCAAATCTACAACACTGTGATCTATACTAGCAACAACAGTGAGCTCAAGTATGAGGATGAGACAGTTCTGTATGGCCTGGAGTAGCAGAAAAACGCCAAGGAGAAGGTAGGAGAATCAGAATTCAACATCTATGATACTATTCTCCCCCATACTGCCTACCATCAAACACATGGAATATCTCCCCTCAACTCATGATTTCTATAATTAAAAACATAAAATTGATCAGTTTCCCCACCTTCTTGGGTTCGCTAGTGGGAGACCTGTCCTAGGCTTAATTCACAGGAAGCATTCTAACTACCTGAAGGGAGAAATATCCCTAAGGACAGACAGAGATAATGTGGGAGGGGGACTACCATCCTCAGCCCCAAAACTCTTCTCTGTAATTTGGCCAAAGGAGATGCCAACTCACAATGTCTACTCAGCAGCACCATACTGTAGGAGATGTGTTCTTCAGGACCATCTTCAGGTCCTCTGGTCCTCCTAGCCAGCCTTCCTACACTTCTGGGAATTCCGCTCTGTGGGAAAGGCAGTGCTCAAATGATTTACTACAGCAGAGATGAACCTGTGCTTAAGGCACCACGGAGAGTCTAAAAGGAGACAGTGGCCTATAAGATTTGCTCAGAAAATACAGGTATATTCAGTAAAAACCAAAACAAGCCAGAGAGAGAAAACAGGAATAAGTAATCCTTCAGTACAAAGATACAGACGAATAACCACCCATAAGAAACAATAGCACATAGGGAACCATGGCATTCCCAGAAGAACAAAGCTAAAATCCAAGGAGATGCCAACTCACAATGTCTACTCAGCAGCACCATACTGTAGGAGATGTGTTCTTCAGGACCATCTTCAGGTCCTCTGGTCCTCCTAGCCAGCCTTCCTACACTTCTGGGAATTCCGCTCTGTGGGAAAGGCAGTGCTCAAATGATTTACTACAGCAGAGATGAACCTGTGCTTAAGGCACCACGGAGAGTCTAAAAGGAGACAGTGGCCTATAAGATTTGCTCAGAAAATACAGGTATATTCAGTAAAAACCAAAACAAGCCAGAGAGAGAAAACAGGAATAAGTAATCCTTCAGTACAAAGATACAGACGAATAACCACCCATAAGAAACAATAGCACATAGGGAACCATGGCATTCCCAGAAGAACAAAGCTAAAATCCAGTGCCTGACCCCAATAAGACAACAGTTTGTGCGCGCTCTGACTAAGAATTCAAAATAATAGTTTTAAGGAAACTCAGTGATCTCCAAGATAACACAGAAAGCAATTCAGAAATTTATTACAGAAATTTAATTAGAAAGACTGAAATAATAAAAAATCAAAGAGAAATCCTGGAACTGAGAAATACATTTGCTGAATGAAGAACTCTTTAGGGGCTTTCAACCCAGAACAAACTAAGCAGAGAAAAGAATCAGCAAGCTCTAAGACTGTCTATTTGAAAATACAGTCAGAGGAGAAAAAAAATTTTAAAAAGAACAAAGATTGCCTATAAGATATAGGAAATTACTTTCAAGACCAAATTGAAGAATTATTGGTGCTCAAGAGGGAGCTGAGCAAAAGCAAGGGATAGAAAGCTTATTCAAAGAAATAACAGCAGAAAACTTTCCTAAACACAAAAAAGATAAAAATAGCCAGGAATAAAAAGGTCTCAGAAGACCAAACAGATTTAACCCAAGTAAGACTATCCCATTAACATAATAAACTCTTAAAGGTCAAGGATAAAGAGAAGATCTAAAGGCAGTAAGAATAAAAAGCAAATAATATATAATGGAGCACCAATTGGTCTGGCAACAGACTTCTCGATGGAAACCACACAGGCCTAGAGGGAATGAAATGACATTTTCAAAGTCCTCAAAGAAAAACAAACTGCTGTCCAAGAAATTGTGAATCCAACAAAATTATCATTCAAATATGAAGGAGAGTAGGGCGCTGGCCCCATATGATGGAGGTGGCAGGTTCAAACCCAGCCCGGGCCAAAAACAAATATGAAGGACAGATAAGTCTTTTACAGACAAACAAAAGCTGAGTGAATTCACCATCACCAAACATGTCTTTCATATCTCAGACCAAAAAACAAGTCTTAACAAATTCTAAAAAGTAGAAATCATATCAAGTATCTTTTCTGATCACAATGAAATAAAACTAGAAATCATTAAGAAGAATAACCTTGGAAAATACATAAATACATGGAAATTAAACAACCTGTTCCTGAACAACCAACAGGTCAATCAATGAATTAAGAAGAAAACTAAAACAATTTTTGAAACAAATTAAAGTGAAAATACAACACACCAACATCTAAGGAATTCAGTAAAAGCATTACTAAGAGGGAAGTGTATAGTAATAAACACCTACAGCATTACGGGCTCATGACTGTAATCCTGGCACTCTGGGAGGTGGTGTGGGTGGATTGTTTTTGAGACCAGCATGAGGAAGAGTGAAACCCAGTCCCTACTAAAAATAGAAAAAACTAGCCAAGGGTGGTGGCACATGACTATGGTCCCAGCTGCTCAGGAGAATGGCTTGAGCCCAGGATATTGAGGTTGCCATGAGCTATGACATCATGGCACTCTTGTCTGGATTAACAGTGAGACTCTGCCTCGGGGAGGAAAAAAATTTAGAAAGACTTCAAATAAATAACTCAATAATAAACCAACAAGGAACTAGAAAAGCAAAAACAAACCAAATCCAAAATTGATAGAAGGAAAAAAATAATACCATAGCAGAAATAAAAGAAATTGACACTTAAAAAACACACTAAGAGCAATGACAGGACACAAAAAGTTGTTTTTTAAAAAAGATAAACAAAATCATCAAATCTTCAGCTAGAATAACTAAGGAAAAAAGAGCAAAGACCCAAATAAATGAAATCAGAAACTAAAAAGCAGACATAACAACTGACACCACAGAAATATAAAGAATCATTAGAAGTTTCTATTCTTTTACAAAGAATTATACTCTAGAAAACCTAGAAGGAATGAAATTTCTGGACATAAATAACCTCCCATAATAGAACCATAAAGATACAGAAAACCTGAAACAAACCATTAACAATTAATGATGTCCAAGCTATAATAAAAATTTCTCACCTAAGGAAAGTCCAGGGCTTGATGGCTTTACTATTGAATTTTCCCAAACATTTAAGGAAGAACTAATAGCAATTCTAATCAAAGTCTTCATTAAAATTAAACAGGAGAGAGTATTTCCAAACTCATTCTACGTGGCCAACATTACATTGGTACCGAAATCAAACTTTTTATCAGTAAGACAGGCAATAACAGATGCTGGCAAGATGCAGAGAAAAGGGAACACTTGTACACTGCTGGTAGGCATATAAATTACTACAGCCATGTGCAGAACTGTAAGGAGAGTCCACAAACAACTACCATAGGATCTAGCAGTTCTACTATTCAATATATATTCAAAAGAAAGGAAATTAATATATCAAAGAGATATCCGCTGCCCTCTGTTTACTGCAGTATTATTCAAAGAACTAAACTATGGAATCAACTTAAGTGCCCATCTATGGATAGACGCATAACAAAAATGTGAATATACACAATGGAATATTATCAGCCAGAACTAACAATGAAATCTCATCATTGGCAGCAACATGGATGAAACTGGAGGCCATTATGTTAAATGAATTAAGCCAAGCACAGAATAACAAATACTTCATATTCTCAATCATATATATAGATCACATAAAGATAAAAAGTAGATTGGTGATTATCAGAGGCCAGAATGTAGAGAGAAATGAAGAGGAAAAAAAAGAACAGAAATGTATTTATTTAAAAAAAAATCTATGAAAATCTGAATTATAAAAAAACTGAAAAAGATATATTTGAAAATGTAGTAGAGCAGGACATCTGTATGTTAACCACCCAAGGGACTATAACAAACTGGTCAACATACAGAGGTAGTCAACGTAAGGAACTAGGCCTACTGTACTGATGTATACCTACTGACATGTGGTACCTGTCAACTTAAGTCAACTTAGGGAGGTGGTCATGTAGGAAGGTGATAAACTATGGAGGTTCTGCTGTACTTGTGTTGTATCATGGTGCACATAAACTGAAAGAGGACAGAATATAGGATGAGGCCACCTGACATGTGGAAGTCAAGAATACAGGGTGCTAGAAGCTAAGCACATCTGTCCTTTAACTCCTTTTGAATCTCACCTCTGTCAAGTTTCTACCATTCTTTCTAATTCCAAAAGGAAGAATAACTCATTTATTTTCTAAAACTAGGAGAATATTTTTCTTCTAGCCCTGTGTATACTGCGTGAATACAATCACTCCTCATCTGACTCTTTGTGTTAGTCATGGTCTGAAGCATCTAGAAACCCAACAACAATTATGGGAAAAGCCCTAACACTAATTTATAACCTTAGAAAGAAACTGTACATCAGTATTTTGCCAGGACTTAGAATTAACATTCTGCAATTAATCCTATCACTTTGTAGCCTAAATAAAATAATATTATCTACTGTAATAGAATAACAACTCTCTTTACTTTAAAATCTTTAGAAGGAGAACCTGACCTAATCATTTAAGCACTTCCTTGAAACTATCTCCAGTTTCCCCAGAGCTACAATAAAACAAATAACTGAAACCCAACAAGTAAATATTTAAAAGAGCTTTAATGAGAAAGAATATCTAGATCCAACTAAGCATATAGGAAGAATAAAGTTTCTTACCTAAAATAAGTAGCAATGCAGAGAATTACCACCAACATAGGATAATATATATAGAATCCATCTGCAATAAAGGATAAAACTTTCATGGAACCCATAATCTAAAGGGCAAGAAAAAAGTGAGTTAAACTGGCATAGTTCTGTATTATTCACTCCTTTCCATCATTAGAAAACTTGCTATGAAACCTATTATGTCAATACACTTGAAATTTTAAAAGTGGAAACACAAAGTACTAAACAGACTAATTTTTAAAAATTTGCTTTTATTAAGTTTTCTTCTAAGGAAAATTCATATTTTATAAATTTACTCAAAATTATCACTATGTTAAGACTACAACTATAAAAGTTAATATTATTTTTGGCCATGTATTTTAATACTTCTCAGCTAAACAAAATATATAAACCAAAAATATCTATTTTTTGTAACAATAAAAGCAAAATCATTTTTACCCAGTCATTAGTTAATACCTATACAACTTTTAAGGGAAGATTTTACTAGTAATCTCACAGAATTTTTCTGCCAGCATTAAAAGAAGTGTCACAATAACGCCGTCTCTTACAGATGAGGAACCTAAAGACCTCTGTTTCCTGACCATACTCACCGATGTGTAAGCTGTTGGCTGAGTATTCTGGTGAGAGATAGATGAATCCATATGGGTCAAACCCAAGAAATTAAGACATAAAGGAGGAGTCAAACGGCAAAATAACCTGCAGCAAATATTTTAAAACATAAAATATACAAAAAATAAAGCAGTAAAAATAATATTTTATATTATACTGAAATGTATTAAGAACATTTCAGATCACTGTAGCTATAATTTTCATCTGTTTGCATGATACGTAATTCTTATTGTGAACTGCCCTTACTTAGTCGGGAGGCATTCTGAAAACCTTATTAATTGCATCACCCTTAAAAACATCAATGCCTGCATGGCAAAATTACAGCTTCAGTCTGCCTACTTTGGAGGGCTTTGCCACTGATTTATCCCCACCATTTGTGGAGTACCTTCGTATGTACCTCCTTCAACTCTACCATCTGTGCAATTCATCTCACAGAATGATAAGCACAGTAACATCCTCAAGGTAAATTGTACTTAGTATATAAAATATCTGAAGATGTATGAAAATATGTCGTTCTGACATTTACAGGTATAAAAAAATTGTTCAATTTTGTCTAAATAAAAAGAATCTCACAAAATTACAGAGTAGGAGAATGGGGTGAATAGAAAGGTAGTAAGAGGAGTTCTTTTTTGGTGATAGAATAGTTCTCAATCTTGACTGTGGTGGTAGTTATAGGAATCTACAAAAACGCACACACAAATAAAAGATAAAACATGGTGAGAACTAAAGAAGTTCTGTAGTATAGTTAATAACAATATTCCAATGTAATTTCCTGGTCTTGATATTGTTCAATCACTATATAAGATGACTCCATTGGGAGAACCTTGGTGAAGGTTAATATGACTTTTTGTACTGTATTTGCAACTTCCCATGAGTTCATAATTATTTGGAAAAGTCTTAAAAGTTACCATACATATCAATCCCTACATAAATTTCTCTACTTTCAGCCTTTATAAATACTTAATATAATTGAACTTACAATAAGGACAGGTAATAGATTATGCAATCTAGCCCAAGTTGGACCTATCTCTCTAAACTATGGCTAACTTACTTAGGAAAATTTGTTGTTGGTTTTCTTTGTCCTCTTCAATTTATTTAGAGGCCACTGAATCTCAGAATGCTTTTTAGGTCTGACTTAGTCTTTAAATTCTTTACTGTTCCTACTATTTACTAATCTATTTACTGAATCTTTTTTTTTGAGACAGAGCCTCAAGCTATCCTCCTGGGTAGAGTGCCATGGCATCACAGCTCACAGCAACCTCCAACTCCTAGGCTCAAGCGAGTCTCCTGCCTTAGCCTCCCAAGTAGCTGGGACCACAGGCGCCTGCCACAATGCCTGGCTATATTTTTGTCGTTGTTGCAGCCGTCATTGTTGTTTTTGGTGGCCCGGGCTAGATTTGAACCCACCACCTTAGGTGTATGTGGCTGGCACCTTAGCCACTTGAGCCACAGGCACCGAGCCTTTACTGAATCTTTAGTTGATAAATTCAGCCTCACCTATATCTTTCTTTTCCCTCCTAACTGAGCATACCTAATTTAGCCTTAAACTTCAAGCTGGATTTAGCTGGCAATCAACAAATATCTATTTAATACTCAAACCTAAACAATTATTCACTAAAATATAAATATTAGTGGAACATCCATAAGCAATAAGAAATAAAAGAGACCCAGAAGAATACGTGCAATAGAGACATTTCCCTTATTTCTAAATGTAATTCTACTTACATGCCACTGAAAAGAAGGCTATAAGCATCAGTTTGGTGATGTGAAGCCAAGTAATAATAGTTAAATACACGAATCCTGAACACAGTAGAATAAACACAGATACTTAGGAAGAAGATGGAAAGAAAACAAGCAATCTGAAAAAAGACAAAAACAAAATAGTTTTTTTTAACTAATGGGCCTTAAACTAGCACTTAACTATCCTTCATTTCCAGCTAAGATTAATTGATGTTCTAAAATTTAAATATACTAATATGGGATTTTTTAATCTAAGAAAATAAAATTATGAAAAACATCTACATTTTAAACTGTTCAACATCTTAGATCCATAACTTTTAAATCACCTTCTAAAGTGAGCCTGTTCTCCCATTCCCTTGCAACTCTTCACATGAGGCCTGCAAGTTACATAGCTTCACTAGCATAAAGAAATCAAAGTCTTCTCATAAAAAGAATTTTGCACTATCTTGGACCTTTTCATCTCTCTTCAAATATGTTCTTGGGTTTTTGTGTTTCTTGTTTTGTTGAGACAGAGTTTCACTCTGTCACCCCTAATAAAGTAGTGGCTCACAGCAACCTCAAATTCCTGGGATCAAGCAATCCTACTGCCTCAGCCTTCCGAGTAGCTGGGAATAAGGCCTGAACCACCACGCCTGGCTAATTTTTTCTATTTGGGGGAAGAGACAGGGTATCACTCTTGTTCACACTGGTCTCAAACTCCTAGTGTCAAGCAATCCTCCGCCTCTACCTCTCAGAGTGCTAGGATTACAGGCATGAGCCATTGCACCTAGCCTAGCTCTCAAGTTTTAATGCCTACTTTAATAGTAGGATAAATTGATAAAACATATTTTTGGAAGTTTCAATAATACCACTGTGGGGAACTTCATTGCTTTCATTATTGCCACAAAAAACATATGGAGAAAAGATATAATGGTTAAGATTACACCATGAACTGACATATAGTTATGACAGACATAAAATAAACTAACCTCAATATAAATATAATTGTATGTTTTTTCTGCCAGCTGTATGAAGACTGCAAAGAGGGATAAGACAGGAGTAGTGCTAAAGAATGTGCACTCTGACCACACAACAATCACAGAGAAGATGGACAGAACCACAGCAAGGATCCTGTAAAACCAGGGTCGCAAAAGACATTCCCAATACCACTCTGGAAGATAAAAGAAAAAAATGATTAGGAAAACCATATAGAAGTAACAGGATATTAACATTGCTTTAAAATATCTCCTAACCAGATACCCAATTACAAAGGGAAATAGCATTACAGTAGAGGAACCAGCCAATTCCACCCAATCAAATGATCACCAGTAAGAGGACAAACTGACATCCTGAGTTCCCTGCTACACAAGAAGAACATAACATGACTGCTATGGTACTCCTGTCAAAAATGCAGAAGCTCCATCCAATCACATGGAAACATCAAACTCAAGTTCAGTGACATTCAACAAAGGAACTGGCCTGTACTCGCCAAAGACATCTATGTCACAAAACACCAACAAAGACTAGGAAACCGTTCCAGAGTAGAGGAGACTAAGGAGCCATGACAAGTGAATGCAATGCATGACCCGGGATTTTTTTACAAAGAGTATTATTGGGATAATTATTGAAATCTGAATAATATCTGTAAATAATAGTATGGTAACTATGTTAATATCCTGATTTTGATAACTGTAATATGTAAGAAAATGTCCTCATTTTTGGGAAATACACACTGAAACATTTAGGGACAAAGAAACATAATGTCTGGATACAATTCCAAGGGATTATGTAAAAAATACATATCAGAAGTGCAAAGCAAGTGCATATGACAAAATGTTAATATTTGGAAAACCTGGATGAAGAGTTTTATGGGAATACTTCATACTATTCTGGTTAAGTCTGAATTGAGGTAAAAATAAAAGTTTAAAAAAATTCAATAAACTGAAAAAGCTATGCTTTTACTTTTACCCATACTTCAAGGATTCAGCTCCTGCCTCATTGTAATTTTTTCTACTCCACTCTCAGCATAATTCCTGGTGATTTCAATATCCCCATAAGTGATGCTTCTTTCAATACCCTGGTATCTCATTTCCTTGACTTCCTCTCTGCCAATGGTCTTGTCCTCTACCCCCACTCAATTACTTGTTACCATAGTTATTCCTAAACTTTTTTTAAACTAGTATCTTCAACTTTTCCATATAATCTCATTCTAGTATCCTTGTCTCCAAACAATACCTTCATCTAGTACAGGATTTAAACTCCATTTACTATCTCTACCTGGACTAACAACCAATTTATTCTACCTCCTTCGTATTGCTATTTAACACTCTGATATCCTTATTTCCTTCCTTATAGAGCCAGATTCCACAATCTTTGAGGACAGTTACCCTCCAGTATCCCAATTCCTTTGCCCCCTCTTGTTTCACTGTACTTGCTTAGCTAAACCACACCCTGCCTAGATCTAACTCCTGGCTTTTCTGAGCTTACACCCATGTAGCTGCACATTGTCAGAGAAAGACTGTAACTTTGCTACTGGTCTCATTTTAAATTCTTAATCACGAGCTTCAAGCTGGCCCTCAGCACTGCCTAGCTAGCCTACTATAATTCCCCAATCTTCTCGCATGCCTACTTTCCTAGGCAACTATTTCACACCTTCTCTTCCCTCTTCAAATCTCCAAAATCTCTTCTCCACGCTTATTTTCTCAGCATTTCACTGGGAAAATAGAATGGATCCGAAGAAAAGTTCCCCAAGTTTCTACCACTGCACCTCTCACCTACTCTGTGTCTTACCTCCTAATCTAGGGCCATTCTCTTCATTGTTTACTACTCCCCACCTCATCTTTACTACTCATGAACACAGTCCTAAAAACTGTCTACCGTCTTATCAAATTTTCCTTCTATTCCATCACTCCCACGTTGCATAATTTCTCAGGACACAATCCCTGTCAGTTACTACCATTCTCTGTTCCCTTGTGCAGGGAACACATCCTGGAAATTTTCTATTCTCCCTGTCTCCAATTCCTCTTCTTCTGATTTCTTTTGAACTCCAGTTGGGCTTCTTCACCCTCCTCCACCACCCATAAATTCCAATGGGTAAGATCTTAGTATTTATGACACTTGATCCACATGCAACATCTAAAAAGGTACTTTGGAGCAGCACCTGTGGCTCAAAGGAGTTAGGCACAGGCCCCATATGCCGGAGGTGGTAGGTTCAAACCCAGCCCCGGCCAAAAACAAAACAAAACAAAACTACAAACAAAAGGTACTTTATGTAGTTTTTTCCTCAAAACTCCTCACTCTCCTGGTTTCCCTTCTGTTTCTAGTCTTTGCTGCTAGTTCCTCCTTATCAACCTAATCTCTAAATTCTGGAGTCTTCAGGCTGGGCCCTTCAGGCTTTCTCTCCTCTACCTCAACTGTGTCGTTAGTTATTTTATCCTGACTCATGGCTTACTGTACACTGATGGAATCTTAATTTATATCTGCATTACAGACTTCTCCCCTGAATTACAATTTATGTAACAAACTCAGCAACCTTATTTATGCTTTTGTCTTCATTGTTTTGTTACTCCACAGGAGATATACACCAAACACCCAATAATACATAGCATTGATAAGCTCCAATAGTTTTTGAATAATGAAAACAGGTATCACATCACTTCTTCATTTAACTAGAAAAATTTCACTGAAGAAGTTTTCTAAAGTATTTGTTACAGTCATCAAGTCTTCATATTTATGACCAAACAGGCAAAGGGAATTAAGCGACTATAACTGTTTGCTTGAATAAATAAGGTAATTAAAAGTTTTAATAACGTAACACAGGGGTGTCCAACCTGTACCCTGCCTATGGGGCTGCATGCTGATTTTGTGAGGACTTTTTTTGCTTATCTATGGTGTCAGATATCACAAGAATGATGCATAGACCTTTTTTTTGCTTATCAGTTTTTCTTAGTGTTTGTGTATTTAATGTGTGGCTCAAAACAACTTTTGTTTTTCTAATGTGCACCAGAGGGGAAAAAAGAAAGTTGGACACCTCTGCTAACACTTTGGTACTTGCATTAAGTTTCTTCACATTTAATTTGATAATATTTAAAAGGAGTGTCATGGCCGGGCGTGGTGGCTCACACTTGTAATCCTAGCACCCTGGGAAGCCAAGGTGGGTAGACTGCCCTGAGCTCAGAGGTTCAAGACCAGCATGAGCCAGAGTGAGACCCTGTCTCTACCAAAAAAAAGCTGGGCATTCTGGCAGGCGCCTGTAGTCCCAGCTACTTGGGAGGCTGAAGCAAGAGAATCACTTAAACACAAGAGTTGGAGGTTGCTGTGAGCTGTGACTCTATGGTACTCTACTGAGGGCCACAAAAGTGAGACTCTGTCTCAATAAAAAATAAAAAGAAAGAAAGAAAAAAAAAACTTCAAACTAAGAAGATTGAAAGCCAATTGAAAGCAAAATTAAAAAAAAAAAGAGTGTCATAAATAATCCTAAAGGAGAAAAAGATGATGATGACTACAGAGTATAGGCTTTGTAAAGTGGACTAATAAATGTAAATAATTTAATGTATTGAGGACCTTTAAATGTAAAGAGGACCTTTAGAGGGAATATTTTCGTAGTATGTCAATACTGAAAAGACCTAATCTTATAATATAGAATTGCTTAAAATTCTATTTTACATGCAGTTATGTCTTGCATAACATTTTGGTCAACAACAGACTGCATATACGACAGTGGCCCCATAAGATTATACTATATTCATACTATATCTTTTCTATATTTAGATATGTTTAGATACACAAATACTTATCATTATGTTACAACTACCTACAATATTCAGTACAGTGATATGTTGTATAGGTTTGTGGCCTAAGAGCAATAAGCCATCTCACAAAGCATAGAAGTGTAGTAGGCTACACTGTTTAGGTCTCTGTAAGTACATTTTATGATGCTCACGCAACAATGGGATCATCTAACACTACATTTCTCAGAATGTACCCCTGTCGTTAAGAGACATGTGATTATATACAGTATGCATCATATAAAATGTTTGACATATTACATATATTTTCATATAGAATTTTGATTATTTGTAAAATAACAGTGGAATCTCATTGGTTATATGTTGTACATGTATGATAAAATGGTTCTTTTGAAAAAAATTTATCAAATAATACTATCATATAGTATAAATCAAATAATTTGAAAAAGTTCAATTCTGCAATGGTTAAAATAAATACTTTTGTCCTACAGAAAAATTATTGTCATAAACTCTGAAATTTATATCAAATTACATACCAAATGTAGGATTATAAAAATATTGGATAAATCGATTTTCTGGCTCCGGAGATTGAAAGGTATGAACAAACTGACGAGTAACACTGGTTTCGTTTTTTGCTACATCTTCTAGATAAAATGCTTGCTCCAAAAGAATTTGCCATTGTACTTGAGTTCGACGGTGCCTCTGAACCGAATAAATTACCTAAGAAAGAGAATAGGAGTAGACCTGGTAGTGTTCTGGCCCAGCTGTGGTTCAACTCTCCTATAGGGAGCATGTTTTGGTCGTTACAACAACAGGAAAGTGCTAGTAGCATTTACTGGGTTGGCACCAAGGATGATAATGCTGTCAAATGATGTAACAGTTCTGTAACCCTTATCCTCAGTGGAGAACTGTCTCCCCAAATGCTAATAGTTCTATTGGTTCTCCCTACTGAGAACACAAAGTTAAAACACTTCAATGAATAGTAAGACCAAATAATTATAAACCTAACAAAAACTGTAAGTAAAATAGCATAATTAATAAGTAAGGTTACCTGCTTATGCAGTTTTACCAGACTTTTTTCGGTTGGGTAGGTATTATGCTTTTCATCAAAATCTTCATAATCATCCATGTTCCTACCCATTTTTTCCTGATACACTGTAGGGCACTAAAAGGAACAAGTAGAATTTTTTAGATCTGAATTGTAAGAGGATAAAAATTTATTTTTATTAAACATCTTTCATTCTTGGCCATCTCTAATTTTTTCAAAACTATATCCTTCCTTTATTGGTATGTCTAGTTAAACTTTTGCTGACATTTTCTTAAAAATGTTTTAAAAGATGTATTGAGTTTCTTCTCAGCTCTATTTTTTTTTACAAGTCTGTTTATTGAAAGGATCTGAAAAATAGTAATAAGGCTTTCAACATTTAACAAATTTTCAAGATATTAACAATATGAAAATTTAAGATTTACTTCAAAAATCCAAACCTCTCTAGTCATTCCAATTTCATGCTGCTTTAGGATTTAACTTTTGCTTTTTTGTTTAGATGAGTAAACTGGAATTTCAAATATCACTGGTCTTCTGGGCCTTAAGCTGGGGATATTGGTGTCTCTCCTCCTCCTCATTCTGTGTACAAAAAGTGGGGTCCTCCCTGTGCTCAGTGTCATGGACAGACACAGGACACATGTGAGGGCCCCTCTACTGCTTCAGACGGTGTCCTATTGCCCAAAATCATACTAAATGTTTTCAGATGCTCATGTTCACAGATGCTAAAGTGGCCAAACAGCATGACCTGCACTTTATAAACATATAAGTCAAGGAAATTGTACCAGGAAGCTACGGAAGCACGAGATGGGCAAAGGACAGCTGCCACCTGCCTACCATTTAGAGACAAGTCCAGTAAAGGGAAGGCTCTCATCCCTTCCTGTTCGTAACAACTGAATGATGAAAGACCAATTCTTGAGCAAAACTCAAAGAGCAATTACTCAAAAACAAAGATGCCCACATTTGGGATGCCTGTTGGACAATAACCAAGGTACCACTCCCAAGTGGAAGACACCTGACCTCTCAATGCACACATCCACTCACGCTCTCAAGCAACACCTACTTCTCTGCAAGCCCGGGGCTCCTAGGAATACCCGCAATGTTTTGTCTCAAAATTCCCATTTCAATTGCAAAATCAAAGGGCTTACTATCTCCTCAAACACTGACGTCTCCTGGACCATTAGGATTGCACACAACTGGACAGAATGGTCCGTGAGGACAGAGTTGCACAGAACACAAATGTTAACATTAGCAGCAGGAAAATCCTTTCCCCCTTTAGATCTTCATAAAAGCTTGTATAAGAAAATATGTACATAAGCATTCCAGAAAGTTTTTTAAAAAAGTATATACAGGATTTAAAATATCTGGGAACTGAAGCTGTGTGAGGAATGTGTGCATCAGCCCAAGATGTCTGCCTGTCCCTTGCCCTTGTAATAACAAAAGAAAAAAATTCTATACATGAATTACTACTGGTTTATGCTTAATATTTCCATGAAAATGAGTTGAGAAGACTTCAGTCAAAAGCTGCTTACATATTTTTCTGATGATTTTGTTATAATATTATATAAATTTGTATTTCAAAGGGAAATGAAATTTTTTAGTTACCTTTTTAAGTATCGTATCAACACATTTTCTCAGTGGATGGTTATACTTAATGCTTTCATTCACTTTACGAACTTCCTATAAAAACAGTAAGGTAAGTAAAAGTTTTTCCATTTTTTTACAGATCAGATATTTTAAATAGGAATGTATTATTTGGTAGTATTAGGTACTACACATTCTCACAAGTTCAATTCATTTATGATACAGCATTGCATGAAGTTCCTTTCACTGAATAAAGGTTCTTAAGAAGTAAAAATAGAAGATCACTAAACAGTTACATCCTATACCCTTGAACTTTTTCTTACTTTCTAGATTGATCCCTTATCATCTGATTACTTCGTTTAAAAATATCAGTAAACACTATAAAAGTTCATGAAGGATCAGACAAACTTTGTGATCCTTAAAGAACAGGGCTGTGTTCCTCCACTTTACTCATCAAGGTCCATGGTCTCATTATCTAAAATACAGTGAAGAAACCATAGGAAGCAGAACTACAAATTTCACAAAGTGCCTCCTCCTTTCAATAGAAGAGTCTCCAGAGAAGTCATATCTGATTTAACTCCATAGTTATTTATCAAGAGCATACTATATGCCAGCCCTGTGGGAGGTGTAAACCTACCATAATCCATACTGGAAGACTGTGAGGGGAGACACGGAATTGTTGGACATTGACTAAAATTATACTACAGTGATACAATGATTAAGTAATTTAATGAACATGAAAAGCATAAAAGAGGGAGAGGAATCCTTAGAACCAACAATTCCTAAGGAATCACAATATTCTATCATATTCATGAAATTTAAAAAAATTGGAACCACTCTTCCAGGCAGATGAAACAGCATGTTCACAGCCTGGGAGGCATGAGAGACCTGACTGGGCTATTAAAAAATAAAATAAAATTCTGACTATAGGGTTGAGAAGGGCTTTAAGGGATATAAAACTAGAAGCATAGAAACCATCTGGCACATACAAAAAATTGTGAACAAATTTTTGTAATATATATCGTATGGCAAAGAATCACTATCCTTAAGATGTGAATAGTTCTTACAAATCAACCACAAAACAAGAATACAAAAGAAATACAACTGACCAAGAAATATCTGAAAAGATATTCATATGCAAAATAGCTATATATTTTTAAAATGTGAACTTTTTTTACAAGATTAGGGGGAAATACAGTAACAAATGATCTCACCTATTTGAGGGTAATTTAGCAATATTTATCAAAATTTAGTATATGCATACTCTATGAATAATAGGTACCCATAGACACTACTTCCATCAAGAAACTTAGCTTGATGAAGTATGGAGACAGAAATCAAATAGAAACAGTATGGAAATTACTATGGATGTTCTGAGAGGGGATGATCTAAAAAGGAGACTTTCTGATGAACTGATTACTTAAAATGAGATTAAAAAAAATGAGCAGAAGTCAGTCAACCAAAGGGCAGGGCAAGAACATTGCAGACAGTTATCCAGGGACAGCACACACAAAGTCTCCAAGCCAAAGGGAATAAATTTCTTTAAGGGACTGAATGAAGTCTTGTGTGAATAAAGGGAAAGGAAAGTAAGGCCTGAGTAGCACTTGATCAGACTGGGAAAGCAAAACCAAAATGATTCTCGAAAGTCTTAAGAATGATTTATTTTGAGGTTGATGTGTGAAGGTTAAACACAACAGTGATTGGGTTTTTAAAAGGTCACCTTGAAGCATTATTACACACAATTTTCCATTACTAAGCTGCCTTAAATTTTGTTGACTTGATAGCACAGGTTTATTCTACTTTGAGTATGAACTATACAACCTGTTTATATGTTATATATGAAACATCATGTTTTCTTTAAATTATTTAGCCATATTAAATAAGTTATGAGACAGTTAACTATTAACATTCGCTATATCTATTATAAATTTAAGGCTCCTTCAAAAACTGTAATTTTTATAAAATGTGGAAAATATTTTAGTTTGCTTTTTCATACCAAATAATGTAACTTTGAGCTCTTTCATACTGTGCATAATCAACTCTTTTCAATAGGTCAGCCAACATCCATGAAGGTAGGCTAAGTGGCAGTTTTCAGTGGAAATAAATAGCTAATTCTCCCTCCCCAAAATATTCTCTCTAGAAAAATGACAAAAAGTAGAGATACCTTTTAGGCCATCTAATAAATACCTCTTGAATGGTTTGACATAGCTTGTAAGTTTTATTGATGTTTCAGACAAAAGTAATAGACACATAGATGTATATATTCATTTCAGAAAGAAACATATCACAGAAATAACAAACTTTTTTATAAAACTGTGTTTAGGGGATTATATGGATAGCTGAAAAAACTACTACCAAGAAAAAGTAACTAAACTTTGTGATCTCTTAAATGTAATCAAAATCAGTATATTTTAAGTTTTCTCTCAAACTAAGTTATTCATATTTTTACTCTGTGCTTTCTTCCTACAGTACATTCTGTGCACCTCCAACAGACTAATTGTAATTAGTGCACCTCTAACAGACTAATCATCCTGAACCACATACAAGATCATGTCTCCTCCTCACTTGCAAAATGTCAGAGATTCCTCACTGCTTTCAAAATGTACTTCAGACTTTCAGTATGGTATTCAGGGTCCTGCTATAGCTTTACCTTTCCAACATAAACTTTAGGCTCAAATTAACTTGGCTTTAAAGCTGATATCTGATTAGAATGTTATCAGCTATGAAAATTTTACCCATCCTTCAAGGCCGAGGTCATATTTCATCTCCTCTGATCATGATTGAGAAGTGAAACCTCTTCACAGAAGAACAGCATTTCCCTTTTTATAACTCCCATCACATTTACCATGTACCATAAAGGACTTTTAATACAGTTTTCTACTTTAAAGACTTAGTACCTTAATGGCCAGTTCTGCATAGCACTTCACATGGCAGGAAGACAGGAAGTATTTGTTAAATGATAAATAAATTGTCTCTTCAAGTTTATAAGTTTCAGATATTCAGAAAAGCAGACAGAATCCCAAAATACCATGAACTTCATGGCCAAAAAAAAACCATAGCTGAGAAACCATGCATTTGCTTTTTTGGTTGGGGATGTTCAAAGTTCTCCTGCTATCTAGTGCTATTTTCAAAATATCTATTAGGAAATGAGTAGTTTCTTATCTAATATTTTTTAAATCCTCATACTTTAAATCTATGAATATAATATTAAAATAGCACAGAAGTCACCAATGCCAGGCTTTAATTTTCCACTTTTATTACTAAGTAGAAGGCTCCTACTCAACAACAATAACAAAATCTACTTTATTCAGTTATGTGTATTAAAGGATCCTCCTAGCAAAATTCAGATCTTCAGTAATAAGCAGGTTTATATTTGTTGCAGAAATATTAAATAAACTGGTGAAAACCAAATTCCTCGAATCTGAAACAACTAAATTCAATACCAATGTTTGGAGAGAACACTATCAAATTTAAATTATCTTCTTTTATCAAATATAAATATATTACCAAATACAAATTTTCAAATATTTCAATTTTTTTCAAAAAATTCCAACTTAAAAGATAAAATATAAAAATTGCCAAATATAAATTATATTCCTTCAAAAGATGTAATAGCCATTCATCATAGGACTGACAAAATACTATCTGACTAGAATACTATCTACAGATTTGCTCCTACATTTTGAACCAATGTTTTCTGCTACTTATTTATTTTGTAAAGAATAAATACTTAAAAGCAAATATAAAATTTTCTAATCACAGTATATATTCATTTGTTCATTCATTTGTTCACTTACAAACATGTAGTGGCTTATGCCCATAATACCAGCACTTTGGGAAGCTGAGTGGGGAGCATCACTTGAGGTCAAGAGGTTCAACTTAAGGCCTGGAGTCTGATGTTACAATGAGCTATAATCATGCCACTACACTTCATCCTAGATAATAGAATAAGACCCTCTTTAAAAAAGGGTTACTAAGTGTGTAAGAGTCTGGAGGGGATGCTATGGATTAAATTGTGTTACCCACAAAATTCATATGCTGAAGCCCTAACCCCCAGTATATTAGCTAAGTTAAGATGAAATTATACTGGAGTGGGACAGATCCTAATCTAATCTGACTGGTATCTTTACAAAAACAAAAGAGGAAATCTGGACACAGGCACCAGGGAGAACACCATGTGAAGGTGAAGGCAAAGATCTACAAGCCAAAGAATGTCAAAGACTCTAGGAGAGAGGCATAGAACAGATTTTCCCTACACCCCTGAGAAAAAAGCAACCCTGCTGACACCCTGCCTTCAACTTTTGGCCTCCAGAACTATGAACCAATAAATACCTATTGTTTAAGTCACCTAGTTTGTGGTAATTTTGTTACAACAGCCTTAAGAAGCTAAGACACAGGGTTTTCCTGAAGAATTCTCACTTATGTTAAGACTTGAAAATGAAGTAGGAATTAGCTGAAAATAGTCCTGAAAAAAAGCATTCAAAGAGTTTAGGAGTAGCATGCTCAAAGACTAAAAACAGAGGCAATGAGTGTAAAGATTAAGAGCAGAGACATTCAAACCAGATCAAATCCAGACCACCACCTGTTCTATACTGGAACATATCTACAGTCACTCATTTACTTTCTGGCTATGACTGCTTTCATGCTATAAGGATAGAGTAGATGCAACAGAGACTATATGTCACACAAAGCCTAACATATTAGCATATGGCCATTTATAGAAAATATTTATCAGTCTCTGTTAAAGTAGAAACTAAAGTTAGACAGCCTGGCTCTATCACTTAGTAGTTGTGTGAACACAGGGAAGTTATTTAATCTCTCCATGCCTTATTTTCTTCAATTATAAAATGGGGATATAAAAAAAAACCTCTCTCTTATAAAGTTATAAGAATTAAATGTATTAACAATAAATGCAACGTGCTTAGACAAATATTAAGTCTCTGTAATTGTTTGCTCTAATTATCACAACTAAATTTGAAGAATCAAAGTTAAGTATTCGGCAAATATTAAGTCTATAGAATTATTATTTCATCATCATTAGCAAGTCTGAGAAACTAAAGTTGACCAGTGTGAGGAAAACAGAGGCTTGGGATAAGGCTGGGGAGCTAACATGGATTAATTTTTTTTTTTTTTTAGTCTGCATTCAAGCATTTTAAAGTTTATTCTAACATGAGTGGAAAGCATTCAACAGGAGGTTTTAATTTGGAAAGTAACATCATCAAAGTGGCAGTCTTCCCAGAGGAGCGAAAATGTGAGGTAACTATAATAATCTCTCTTTAAATCCATAACAACATTATTACTTAAGATAGCAAAATTTTATATACATTATTGAAAGTTATACTTTCAACAACTTGTGAAGTTGGTTCAAGTCATCTGCATTTTATAAGTAAAATGAAGTGCCTTATTAAGATTACAGATAGGAAAGAAAACTTACAGATTCAAACTCCCATGAAAATTGTTTTTTAAAGAGGTTTCCAGACTTGGTGAGATTACCTCAGGTCAAACTTTCAGGAAGAAGTATCCTCTGGTCACTATTTTCACTTCTACTATGATAGGGTAATCACATAACTTATTTAATCTGGGAGACTTCTGAGAATAAAAAGAGCCATTAATAAAAGCTACCTCAAGACAACAGGCATACTCCTACACTATTAGATATATTTCCCCTGAATCTTTGTCAGTTAGAAGATGGATACAACACCTCATGAAGCTAAACTGCCAATAAGAAGTCACCCTGGATCAGACATCCTGAGAGACTGCACACCACCAAATTTGCAGTCTGAAGCCCATCAAAAGTGAGAAAAAGATACATACACAACTTGTGACTATTGCTAGTAAAGTGCAAACTTCCTTACCTCCATCACATCCTCTAAATTCTCTTCTGCATCTGCTTTCTCTGTCATCAGTTTGGCTGCCTTAAAATAAGTTTTCATCAGCAGATAACCCCTTTTTGCTCCATTCCAGTATGACCGAGGAATTTCCACCAAGCCATACCCCAACAACAATACAAGAAGAAAGAGACCCCATGTATTTGCAGCAGCTATCCCAATTGTCTGAAGCTGATTCCTAAGACAGAAAATATATACAGATAGTTGTGCTAAATACATTTTCCTAAAAAAAATGCAAAATAAGACTAACTAGTAGTAAATTTTTTTTCAGAAAACAACTGCCCTAAAGGATAGGTAAGATTTTACATGAAAAAATTAGACCTTCAAATTCTCAGCTACATTTTTAGTAATAGCAGATAATCTATATATTTTAATGGAAAGAATGTGATTGCAGAAATGGACTTTAACACAGAAAATACTGCTTTTATTATAGTTAAAATTAGAATCTAGAATAATTCACAGCCAAAAATACATGTGTTTTCCCAAAGAAAATATTTTTCACTAGGTGCTTTCTTACTCAATATTAACCAAAAGCTTGGAAAAATTTTTAATTAACTTATATTGAAGCTGATGTAAAAAATCTCAGAAATGCCAACAGTAAGGCCTAAACTGCTGCTCTATTCCTAAATTTTCAGACCTAGCTCTTTATGTATATAACAAATCACAGGTATAAAATAATATCTAAATCTAAGGCAACATTAGGAACAAATATGCCCCAAACTATAGCAAAAACAAAAAGAAAAAATATTCACAAGTCCCAATGAAAAAATAAAACCAGCTATTTTATCATATATAAAATTTCAAATTTTACCCAATAATCATGAAGGTTAGTACTTTTACTATATAGTTATTAGACAAAGCATTAATCCTTTGTCTAAAAGGTATACTTAAAGCTATCATTCTATATTTTCTTTCTTAGTAATATGGTGTAGTCAGATATTCATTTGAAGGAATCTATAAAACACAGAACAGTTATGTTTCTCAATGAAATGTCTGTTTACTCACATATGTGAGATAAAAATGAATTTTTAAGGGTACAAACATACACAAAAGCAATGTTAAGAAGACTATTTTTCTTACCATTCTAAATGCAAATGTGGGTTTACAGCTACATAAATTAAAAATGCTCCAAAAATCAGCAAATAGGTGCCATAATAGATCGCATTCTCAATCAGTGCAGTCTTGATCTTTCCCGTGATAGAAAACCCTCCTGATCTTGCATACGACTGCATAAATGGTAAGAGAATCCTAGAGGATGGAAAAAGTTACTTAAAAAATCCAAAAAACAGATATATCTATATAATCTCAAAATATTAGAAATATATAAATCTCAATTTTAATGTATAGTTCTTCTCATTAATAAATATAGCTATGAGTATTAACACTGAATAAACTACAATACCTGATTATTTCTGTAATATTAAATTTTAGGAAAAACAAAGCCTCTGAGTGATGGAGGTCAGAGCACGTTACAGGAGTAAAGGAGGCCAGAATCATCAGTAAAGAATCCAACAATATCACTGACTAAAGAGCAGTCTACGATTGGCCTTTAAAGCCTTTAAGAATCTGGACTTAAACAATAAGGAGGAAATATCTTCTTAACACAAATGAGACATGATTAAATTTTAGTTTTCTAAGGTTTCAGCATGGAGAATAGATTGAAAGGGGAAAAAACTGGAACTAGTGGTAAGAGTGGTGGTAGTGGTCTAAGAAACAGGAAGGGAGAAGGCTGGTTGTCAACACACTGACACTAACTGAAATAGGACCTACAAGGCACCCAAGATGAGCTGCACAGGAAGTAGCGATCTATAGCTTCAGAGTTCAGGAGGGAGGGCAAGAAACAGATTCTAGAGTCACTACCATATCAGTAGTTCTGAAATAGCATGAATAGAGGAGATCTGGAAGGGCAGGTAGGTAGAATGTGAAGGAAAACTGAGGTAGTGAAAGAGAAGGAGTAAGAACCAGCAAAGACAACGGAAACAAAACAGAAGTGGGCAAGGAAGAAAACCAAGGCGTGAAGGAATGGAAAGTGGGAGAAGAAAGTGTTTGAAAGTGGAAAAAGTAAACAACAGAATCAAATGGTGCCACGAGGAGAAGTAATTCAGGTCTGTATGTGTGAGTGGAGAAGTGGGAGTAGAAAATAGAGAACCATGGGTTGAAGACTAAGTGAACAACTAGCAAGTGGAGATACTGAATAGTATAGAGAATTCATTTAAGAAATTCAGCTAGGTAGGATAGATAAACTAGGATATAAACATAAAAAGGAGTCGTTTACAGAAATGAAGAAGAGAGAACTGATGCATATGACACAGCATAAATGAATGTCTCACATATGTAAGCAATGAGAGATGCAAAAAAGTCCATACTGTATAACCCCACATTTGTAAAGTTCACAAACAGACAAAACTAACTATAATAATGGAGGCCATAAAAGAAATTAAGAATGTTGGGCTTAGCAGATAGAAAGAAAACCAAGAATAATGATGACCTTAGCAAGAGCAGTTTCATAGAATAGGGCTGGAAAAAGACTGGATTGAAGGTCAAGAGAGAGGGTAGTAAATGGGGGGGGGGGGAACAGTGACATGGAAAACTTTTTGATTCTATTTTCTATTTTTCGTTTGTCTTTTTTTTTTTTTTAAGATGAGAAAGACCTGAGCCAGCAGAAAGGGAGAGGATACAGATTTTTTAAAAAGTGACATAAATACATTCCAAAATAGGAACATTCACTGAAAAATAACCGTATTTTTTTTCCGTTAGCCAAACTTTCAAAAATTTTATCCTTCACTGCCACTTACCATGTTAAAAATTGTGATGTCCAATACACTACCCTCCAGAAAATTGGCATGATTCCATCAGGAATGTAACTCCATGGCTTAAAACATGGATGTTGGCTGTTAAATGAAAATTTAAAGCCAATTAATGATAAATACAAAAAAATTGTTTGTTCTAGAGCAGCAGTTCTCAACCTGTGAGTCACGACCCCTTTGTAACAATGAAAATACGATGCAGCATTAGGAAGATTGAGTACCACTGTTCTAGAGAGTAATTCCATTTAAGTTTTCAACTTTCATTGTATTTTTGGTCATTGGGTAAAAAGACTTAATGTTCAACTAACAGACTAAAATACACCAGGCTTTAAAAGCAAATGTATTATAAAATCAAATCTCTAATGATTATCTGTAAAATACATACTAACTCTACTTATAGAGCTGATTATTTTATTTATTTACTTTTCCTGCAGGCTGGGGCAGGTAAGACATTAATTAAGACATTAACTCCTGAAAACTGGAATGCTAATTAAATCAGTTACTGTATCACAGCTCCTATGAAGATACATGCCAGCAATTTGTAATTCTGTTTGAATTATAACCATTTGGCAGTTTGAACTTTTATTTATTCTTGATAAATAGCTATAATCCTTTTGGATGTACAATATGAAAGGAATACCATAAATACAGAATAATCTTCTTGTTCTTTATTACAACCTTGTCAAATTAGCAAAAAGAGAAAATGCATACCCCATTTTTTAGAGGAGACAGGCTGAGAGGAAAAATACATATATCTTAGAAGTCACGTACTTAGTAAAGAAGCACCAGGACTAAAAATTCAGATCTTCATCAAGTTTCTCACTACCATCTATTGAAAGGCCTGTGCACCAACAAATATTTAAAATGTAGACTTAAATAGAATGCAATGTAATAAAGTCTATCATCAAAAAACAGAGGTGTGGGGATCAGTAGAGAATGACGATAACTCTTACAAATATAAAACCTGAATGGTAAAAACCAACAATTTTTACATAGTTTGTCCCCCCACAATATTTATATTTTTAAAAAAAAAGAGGAAAAGAAATACCTTGGCACAGGTTTAGCAGTTGCATATAATCCTGTAACGTTGCTACTTTCAGGGGGGCTTGAATTTGCAGCAGCATGCTTGCACCGGTTGTATATTGTCTAAAGCAATGAATGGTTTAAAAATGAGAATCAAAAAGTTACCAAGTAATTGGAGTTTGGAGGGATACTGGAGTTTATAATAATCTATCTATCCAAACTTACCTTTCTGGCTATGCTTTTTAATGATTAAATTTCTAAGATAATATTTGAATTCAAAATACAAGTATAACCATATATAATTTAACTGTTTTAAGAAACATTATCTCGGCCATGATGTATGATTACAACTGTCTTTTAAATTGTGAAAATCAGTTTTACCCCTTACCGTACTAACATCCAGAGGCAGTATGAAGACAATAAGAAAGCAGAGATACCAAGCAAGCAGCGTTCCAACAATTACAAGTCTATGTTGTTTCTTAAAGTCTCCATATCGATGAAGTAGAAATAATGCCAGAAAAAAGACAAAAACAATCTCGAGTCCCAAAGCTGCACCACTCATATTGAATGTTCACGCTAACCAAAGTTACTCATGGACAGATCTGGACCATAGCTGTAAACTTAAAAAAAGAAAAAAGAAAAATCCAAAATTAACATAAGAAATGACCTTTTCTAAATTTCCTAATCATTTATTAATGTACTAATAAAACTTTGAAAACTGTTATGCTTCACATTGGACTATGAATAAGATGAAAAGGATAATTCCTGCCCTGAAGTACTTGCTTTTATTTTTTAAAGCACATCTTTAAAATTTCACATACATTGTGTTTTCAAAAAAAAATTATTTTAATAAAAATTACACTAATTCTTAAAACAGTACAAATTAAGAAATTCTTAATAGTAAGTGTGAACAGTTTCAATACAGTGTCACTCGGGGTTTGTTTCTTAACGCTATAAATCCTAACAATATTTTCTGCAAATAAGCTATTGACTATATCCTAGAAAATTACTTGGTAAAATAAATTTTGTTAAGATAAGCCATACCCATAATTTAATTTTCTAAGAGACAAGAATAGATAGACATAGGCCATTTGAAAGTAATCTTTCCTTTGTTTGAAGCGGTATTTTTCATTCCTGTTAATTTTGCCTAACAACTCAATGTTTATGAATTGAAATTCTTATTCTTTACTGCTTCACAAAATATACTTACTGCTTCCCATTTATCTACATAAATCTTATTTTCTTTAAAGAAAGTTACTTTACCTATTTTACATGCAGAAAATTTACCAATGATGATTGAACGGTCACACATTTAAAAATACTCTCAATTATAAATGCTAATGATACAGACATCAGCAAATGGCTTGATACCTCTTCACTTCTGCATTTAAAAAATTTATCTTTATGGAGTACAATACTCCAAGGAATTAACTAATATCTTAATATAGAGAATCAAGATTGTGATGTAACCTAATAACACATAACAAGCCAGAATCAATAAAATATTTCAAATCAACAAACATCTCCAATCAAAAACTAATTATAAACAGAACACAGAAAATCTGAAGCTTTAACAGGCTAAATTTAAATTAATGTAGGAAATATTTCTATATGAATTATCACAAAAACCACATTTAACAATTTAGTTTCTTCACTTTCTTTATATTATTGAAGTAGTTTCTTTCCACTCTTCTGTGCATTTCAACTTAAAATTGAACCACTCTCATCAATCTCTGTCCCCTTATTTTTCTATTTTTCCTCAACATACTTATCCATCTGATATAATACACATTCTTTATATTTATTAATTGTCCCTGGCACCTCCCCCTTTCCTCTATAGACTCGATGAGGGCAGAGACTTGACTTTTTTATTCAGGACTGTAATTCAAGTCCCTAATGTAGTATCTGGAAAATAGTAATATTAAGAAATATTTGTTGAATGAATAAACAAGTGAATAAAACATTACTGCATACTTTATCATATACACTATTTTTATATGACTGCTAACTTCAAAGACTATAAAAAACTCTTATTACAGTAAATTGATTCCATAAATACTTATTACAACTCAAAAGGCTTAAAACTCTAAATATTACCAACTATTACTCAAAATTTCAAATTTCATAGTATATTAAAAACTTATATCATAAGAATAAAGCAAATCTAATTGTTAAGCCAAGCACAGATTAAGTAGTTAGCTGAAAGCTATGCAGAACATGCTGATGACAGCTATTACAACACTCATGATCCAGCTTTAAAAAAAAAAAAAATCCTTAATGCAAATTTAAATATAACATATTTTCTGAAAATCCCTTTATTATTTGACCTAGAAGTTGATTTACCTGAAATTACCCAGTGCAAAGAACATGACAATTATAGAGAAAAAGACTAAGTATTAGAGATTACCAAAGAAATGCTAAATACAAATATGGCAGAGCCAGATGATGGAATATTATTATTACTATAGTATAAAAGTAATGTTTGTTAAGATTGTTTAATAACATTAGAAAATTACCCTGAAAGTAATTGAAAACTCTACTTATTCTTACATAATATGCATAAAAAGAATAAGACAACAATGAAACATATAAAAACATTAATAACAGGTAGTAAGATTAAGGGCACAGCTAACAAAAAATCAGTTATAAATTTGCCAGTCATTCTTTTTTTTTTTTTTTTTTTACTATGGCTCTCAATTTCTCGTTCAGTACTTAAAAAGGTTATAGATGAACAAACAGATTTATGGATCCTTTACGGATTTGGTTATATCTCTTCCCATACTAAGTGTATTAGCTTCCTATTGCTGCTGTAACATTACACAAACTAAGTGACTTAAAACTCATTTATTATCTCATAGTTTCTGTGGGTCAAAAGTCAAAACAGTGTAGTTCAACTGTATTTTCTGCTCAGAGTCTCACAAGATTAAGGAGTCAGGAGTTCAAGACCAGCCTGAGCAAGAACAAGACCCTGTCTCTACTAAAAAACTAGCTAGGCACCATGGGGAGCACTTATAGTCCCAGCAACTCAGAAGGCTAAGGAAGAGGATCACTTGAACCCAGGAGTCTGAGGTTTCTGTGAGCTTCCATTTGTACCAAGGCACTCTACTTAGGGCAACTGAGTGACTCTGTCACAAAAAAAGAAAAATAAATAAATAAAATTAGTTTGTCAATTGGTTTGCTTTCCTCTCTGGAGAAGAAACATGTCTAAGCTCATTCAGGCTGCTGACAAAACTCAACTCTCTGGTTATAGATAGGACTGAGATCCCTGTTTCCTTACAAACCTGGCATTTGCTCTTAGCTCTAGAGGCCTCTCTCCAGTTTTGTGAGTATATCTTAATTATTTTAATCATAAATACTCAAGGTGTACATCATGCTGTTTCAACATACTTTACATATACATGGTGAAATGACTACTATATTCAAGCAAATTAACATACTTATCTCCTCACATAGTGTGTGTGTGTATGTGTGCAGTCCTGTTTTTCAGAGCTCCCCAGATTACACTGGGCCCACCTAAATAATCTGATCATTTTACTGGTCCTAGAGATTAAGACATAACCATCCTCAGGGGTTTATTACTCTGTTTACCACATCATCTACTTCTGTTCAGGCGGAAGTTATGCTTTGTTATGACCAAGGTTAGGACTAGTGGTCTCATGAAAATAGGAATAAAAATTGGTGTTTTCTGGGCGGCATCTCTGGCTCAGTGAGTAGGGCGCCGGCCCCATATACCGAGGGTGGTGGGTTCGAACCCAACCCCGGCCAAAAAAAGATGACTATACCAAAATTGGGAGGCAAATCAAAATTCAGTTCCATATGATTAGAAATGAAAAGGAAACTTTAGGTTGGCACTAGCACCACAGCAACAAAAGTTTTTTTGTTTTTTTGTTTTTTTTGAGACAGAGCCTCAAGCTATTCCCCTGGGTAGAGTGCTATGGCATCATAGCTCACAGCAACCTCCAACTCTTGGGCTCAAGCGAGTCTCCTGCCTCAGCCTTCCAAGTAGCTGGGACCACAGGCGCCTGCCACAACGCCCGGCTATTTTTAGGTTGCAGCCGTCATTGTTGTTTTTGGCAGGCTGGGTTGGATTTGAACCCACCACCTTAAGTGTATGTGGCTGGTGCCTTAGCCACCTGAGTCACAGGCGCCCAGCCAACAAAAGTTTTATTCAAAATCAAAATGTCAATTCATTCACTCTATCAAACTTTATTGTCTGATGTGTAGGCTTATTATTATTTTTTTTTTTTTGAGATAGAATCTCACGTTGTCTCACAAAGTCTCACTTTGGTAGAGTGCTGGGATGTCATAGCTAACAGCAATCTCAAACTCTTGGGCTCAAGTAATCCTCTTGCCTCAGCCTCCCAAGTAGCTGGGACTACAGGTATGAGCCACTGTGCCCGACCTGATGTGTAGGGCTGTTATTCCTTCAAAAAACAGTTCTGAAAGTCTTTTTTTTTTTTTTTTTTTTTTTGAGACAGAGCCTCAAGCTGTCCCCCTGGTAGAGTGCCGTGGCATCATAGCTCACAGCAACCTATAACTCTTGGGCTTAAGTGAGTCTCCTGGCCTTGGCCTCTCAAGTAGCTGGGACCTCAGGCACCCACCAGAACACCCGGCTATTTTTTGGTTGCAGCTGTCATTGTTGTTTGGCGGGCCTGGGCTGGATGTGAACGCACCACCTCAAGTGTATGTGGCTGGTGCCTTAGCCACTTGAGCCACAGGCGCCAAGCCCAGTTCTGAAAGTCTTAAAATTCAATTCAATCCTTTTTCAAACATCAAGATATTAATCAATATTACTTTAAAATGCCTTTATAATGGTTTCTCAATTAGCACACTAATATTACTATTGAATCGGAGTACTGTTTTCTGAGCATTTTATGACTAATAATGTTTCTTTTCCACACATCAGTGGAAATTTTAAAGATTAAGATAATTTTAGAATTTGAAGAATCCCAAATGTTGAGAGAGAGAGAGAATTGGTAGTAACTGATTACAACACAAACACAAAACTGACAAAAGTATTGTCAAAACCAAAGATTCTCATGCTATATGAAAAATTTCTGAGCAGAACCTAATGATTCATCAGACTCAGATACTGTTAAATATGTGTTTTTACTCAGAAATGTGTAATTTAAAATCTGTAATTTACAGATGTATGATTTTTTAAAAAGGTACATTTAGTATGCATTTATTAAATCCCAAACATTGTGAAAGTACCTACCATGCTTTATCAAATTAGACCTTACCACCCAGTAAGAAAAGACTTTTAGTATCCTTGCTCAATAGAGAAAATAGCACAGAGAGGGTAAGTAATTCGTTCAAGTTCCCAGAACTAGTGAATGGAAAAGCTGTGATTCCAACCAAGGCACCCTGACTACAGAGCCTGGATCACAATTACATGTATCTTCTCCAATCCAGACTTACTTTCTTAATGCAATTTACATTATATAAGTATTTATTTTGTTCAGACTTTAAAGGGAACAAATTAGAAACATTCCCTTATTATTCATTTTAGATATATCAAAATAGAATGCTACAAAAGTCATGTTTAATGTAGAATTTAACTAAACCTTTCTGATCTTTACAGATAATGCTGCCATTACTTCATTTAAGGGTAATATACACATATGACTCTCACGGAATAAATCAAAATCCTTGTGTTCTTGCCCCAATCTGTCACAGAGCATTTAATTGCAGAGAAATAAAGATCTACTTTAAAATTAATCAAAGGAAAAGGATCTGATTAAAATATGACTGGTAGACAGAAACATCTTGCTAGGTAATTGTTCCTAGCCTTCTGTTTCCCTAAGCTAAATAAGAAAAACACGAAAGAAATTTTAGGATTTACCTCATGTTATGATGGAACTAGAGAAAAAAGTATATCATCTTTTTATTTAAATAGTATCTCTTTTGCCATATTTGATTTCCAAAAAATGGCATTAACATACTACTGAATATATACATAACTTATAGTCAATTGTGACTAGTCCTTTTTGGTTCCTTAGTATCCCCATACTGATCATCTTGTAACTATGCTGTGGTTTGGACTCTGCATAAATGACACTGCTTTTGCTTCTCCCTCTCATCTCACATTGTGTGATAAACATTCTCCCAATGTACAAGCTCACTATTTTTTTTTTTTTTTGTGAGACAGAATCTCACTACATCTCCCTTAGTAGAGTGCCCTGGCATCACAGCTCACAGCAATGTCACTCTTGAGCATAAGCAATTCTCTTGCCTCAGCCTCCTAAGTAGCTGGGCCTACAGGCACGTGCCACAATGCCTAGCTATTTTTTTGTCGCAGTTGTCATTATTGTTTAGCAGGCCCAAGCTGGGTTCGAACCCAACAGCTTCTGTGTATATATGAGCTACCGGCGTGGAGCCACAAGCTCACTTTGTATTCTAAAGCTTCCAAAGAGTACGAGGAATTACTCACCCTAATGTCATTTGTAGTATTAAAGAGAAAGGTAATTCTTCTGTCCTGGATACTGATCTAGAAAGTCTAGTTCTAGAAATATGGTATATCTTTTATTAAAATGACACATAGGGTACACTGAGTAAAATTAAGTAAGATTAATCAGAAAAATGAAATATATCAGTTAGCAATCACAACACAGTTCCTTAAGGACTCAAAAAAAAAAAGACTCAAAAAAAAAAAAAAGAAACCAGACAGCAATTTCATGTAGCTCATAATCTTAAGTCTTCAATGGACACAGTGCCTTATATTAAAAATAGTTGCAGGTTAGGTGCCCATAGCTCAGTAGTTAGGGCACTGGCCACATGCACCAGGGCTGAAGCACCCAGGGCCTGCTAAAAACAATAATGACAACAATAATAAAAAGATAGCTGGGCATTGTGTGGTGGGCACCTGTAGTCCCAACTACTGGGAGGCTGATGCAAGAGAATCGCTTAAGCCCAAGAGTTGCAGGTTGCTGTGAGCTGTGACAACACGCACTCTACCGAGGGTGACATAGCAAGATTCTGTCTCAAAAAATACATAAATAAGTAAAAATAAAAACAATTGCACATACCAATTTAAACTTTTATTTATTATATTAAGAGAACAGCCATAATTAGAAGGAATCAAAAAAAAAAAAGAATGAAAGAAATTACGCCCATATAGCAAGCCAAAGTATTTCTGTTAACCAAGGCAAAGTGTTACTGAAATACCTGTCACAGTATTAAAACACTGATTTTCAAAGTTGACAGGTTCTTCCTAAAGTCCAGCAGAGGACCTTGTATCCACTAATACAGATATTTCAAGTGTTCTAGTTCTCAGGGGACTCCTACCTAAACCCTAGACTGAATAAAGATATTTCTCATCTCTTAATTTAGAATCATCTCACCTATTACTCCTTCCTCTCTATGTTAGCTATAACCCAGTGGCCTCTCAGAATATCATATTTTAAAAATGTTTATTCTCATCATGACTTCATTGTTGTCAATTGTTTTTCTTGTTTGTTCTTTCTCCTGCAGTAGTGTACAGCTCCCTCTGCTTTCTTCTCTTTTCGGAAGGAGACTATAATGTTTTTGTTGTTAAAAATATTTTTTCTAATGAGTTGTAATCTTATGGCAAAAGACAGATTCAAACAAAGGCAACTGCTTTCTCCTTAACAGAGTAACATAAAGGTAATTTTTTGTAAAAATCAGGAGATTGTATTTGAAAATATTTTCCATTTAACATTAGTTTTAATCACATGTGAACACTCAGCTTAGTATTTTTCACCCAGTTTCAATCAAAGAGATCCCTTCTTCATACTAACCTCACCTACTTTCAAGAACAAAGGTTCATGAATTCCTTCCTGTCAAGAGGTGGCTAATTTTCAAGCTAAGAACCAAGCTTGAAACACACACATACTTGGGCTAGGGAAGTTTAATTACACTACAGAATTTTTTTTCTTTTTCAGAGAAACAGAGAGGATGTCATACAGCCTTAGTGAATATTCCACTACCTGATGGCCTGCATACTTATGAATTTCATAAATCCTCTTCATTTTTATTAGGAGTGGAATCACCCTCTTTTCCTCTTCCACTTTTTTCCTGGGGCCACAGTTGTAGCACAGTTTGCACAATGAATTTCGCACGGTCATCCTACGTAGAACATGGCACTCTCTATAGCTCCATAAGCTAACCACCCTCAAACTCTTACCGCTTTTAGGAGGCGACACAGACACCGGGTTGAACCAGAATAAACAACCAATGTCTTTGATAGTGGCCCCCCTGCGTTGCACGGGTAAAGTCTTTTGCAAAATACAGTATTTATCTCAATTTATGAGACTTGTCAAAGCTGCAAAGGGATGTGCAACCTTCCCACTGCACACAGGACTTCCTGGGGTCACCGGCTCCCCTAAAATTAAACCACCGCATCTCGTTCGAACTGCGCTTTAGTTTACAAACCACTTTCACACGCCTAATCTGATCTGATTGTCACGCCAAGCCTGTGGTATGTGCGTCGTTGTGGTCGTGCCGGTTTTACAGACCGGGGAAGGATCCTGTCCACAGACCCAATTCTAAGGGCCGCCCTCTCTCCTCCCGGATAAGAAGACAAGCTTCCTGTCATAAAGACAAGCAGGTGCGACACCTGCGACTCACAGCCTCTCAGCCCACAGGAGGGACAGGTCACTGCCTCCACTCAGCGGCCGGGGACGTGGACGCCGCGGCAGCAACCTCTTGGCGTCTCCCGGGTTCCCTCTGCCTCCGCCTGCGCTCAGCCACGGACCCCAAACCCCACAAAGCCTCCCGCGTTCCCTTTCAGGCTCACCGTCCGATCTCGCCAGACAGCGTCTGGAAGGGACCGGGAAACTCGGCGTCCGCCACAGCCGTCCAGGGTCCGGGACCCACGCTCGGACGCGACAGCCGTGGTGGTCACCAGAAGGAAAACTCGTCCACAGTCAAGTTGCTGACATTTCCTCTTCAGCCCGAGCGCCGCCCACTTCCGCCTCGCCTCTTCCTCGCCCGGAGCCAGCCAGCCCAGCGCCCGCGGGGAGTTGTGGGTACCTCGAAGGCGGGCTAAGCTGCAGGGGAAGGAAGTAGCGGCGAGCCAGTCGGACTACGAAACAGGGCGGGAACTACAGTTCCCAGCAGGCCGCGGGGACGGGGACGGCCGCTGCGAAGGAGAGCGGGCCGAGCAGCCTTGCGCGCGCGGCGGGGATGGAACGTTGCTAGAATTCGCGGGTCTTGCGGCTGGGGCTCGATTCGCAGGCTGGGAACCGCCGCGCGCCAAAGCGGGAATCCGAGAGGCACGCAGCTCTGCAATTAATGCACGTATTTAAAACTCCCGAACCTGCGGACGCCATGCACAGGTAAACGGATTGCAATAAGGGGCAGTGCAGGAATAGACTCCTTAATTCTTTTAGGCCGTGAATATTGCTACTTGCTAATATTACTAATGCTGTTAAGCAAATGGTTGCTTAGCCCCTTCTTGGGGGAAAGTGTGGATGGATGGATGCTTTAGTACGGGGATCGGCGTGCATTTTATTTGGTTTCCCAAATTAGGCTTTCCTGCTACCGTTTTCAATCAGTGTAATTGCCCTCCCTATTTCCTTGTCTCTTCCATACTGGAAGAAATTCTTGAGGCCTTCGGCATGATAGTAAATCAAAAAGCCTTTTTGATTTGTTCTGTCGTTTTCTTTTTAATTCTTGGGAACTCGCCCCGGGCGCGTCATTAGTTGTTGTGAAAATTTTCTAAGATGCATGTATTGCAGCCTGCGTTGGAATTATTTATGGGTGTGTTTTCGAAAGGAACTGGGGTATTATGCACTTCTGCAGGAAGCACCTCCAGGAGATTCCGGACCAGAGTAGCAACGTTTCCACCAGCTTCACGTGGGGATGGGATTCCAGCAAGACTTCCGAACTATTGTCAGGCATGGGAGTCTCAGCCCTGGAGAAGGAGGAGGTGGACAGTGAGAACATCCCCCAGGAACTGCTCTCAAACCTGAGCCACCCGCAGAGCCCCCCACGGAAACGGCTGAAGAGCAAAGGGAATGACAAAGACTTTGTGATTGTTCGCAGGCCTAAACTGAATAGAGAGAACTTTCCAGGTAAAGTATGAGGATGCAATCTCAAGTAATCTAAGGGTGGATGGAACTTACTGGTAAACCTTTGTTCAGGGATCTTTCTGACTGGTCCCTTTTAAAATTGCCTAATTCTGAAGACATTTTCCAATGAAATGAGGCAAGTTGTCATTGAAGTATACAAGAATCTGGTAGGTATGTGTATTTTCTGGTGCACAGCCAACTTGAAAATTTTAACTCAGGAAAAGACATTCCTCCCTTTTTCCTTAGAGGGAAATCTGCCTGCTCAGAATCCAGCTCAGTGCCACTGATAAATGAAAACATAAACAATGTTCTTATAGATTCTTTTGCTCATAATCTGCTTTTTACATGAGTGAGCTTTCTGCCTTTACCTCTTTAGTTATTTAACAATGGACTGCTAAAATGAATGTTCTGCTATGTAGGAGAGACTTACCTCCCCAGATCCACTCCCAAATGGGCTTCTCCTGTGTGTTTTGTCTGCATTATTGCCAGCACTATCTGTCATTCATTCAACCCCAAACCTTGAGTCAAATTCCCACCATCCCCCAGCAAGCAGTCAATCATCATGCTCTTGTAAATATGTATTTTTCAAGCTTTCATCATCTCTTGAATGAACTATTGGACTGAACTGTAATTCCAATAGCCTTCTTCCCAGATCCATCTCCCAGAACTAGAATGGATTTAACTGAAATGTAGATTATCATTCTCTAAATGTAGACACCTATCATTCTCCCAGACCCTGACTTCTCAAGTAGGTAAATGAGAACCTCCCAGAATGGATCAGAACCCTGAGTATTCAAAGCCATAGGGTTAACATAGGATATTGACCTAGCATTATCACATGTTCTTGAGAGTAATTTAAAGCAGTAATTCAGAAGACTTTCTGCTGAGCACCTTTTATGTGCTAAGCATTGTTCTAGGTGCTAGAGATATAGCAGTGAACAAAATATGAACATTTCTACCCTCATGGGGCATCTATCCTAGTGAAGGAATGCAATAAACATAATAAATATTTCATATGGTATAGTAGATGATAAGGGTTGTGGCTCAGAACAAAAATAGAGCAAGCCAAGAGGGAGTACAGGTCCTGGCGTGGAAAGCCAGAGTACACTTTTAAACTGGATTGAGGAAAGAAAGCCTTAATTGGACAGTGACCTAAGCAAAGACAAAGGAGGTGAAGAACTATGCTATGCAAGTATCCTGGAGAAAGGAGTCCCAACCAGAAGGAATAGCCAGTGCCAAGACCCCGGGGCAGAAGCATGACATGTTTGTTAGAGAACCAGGAAGCCATATTCCTTGGAATGAGCAAGGGGGAGAATAGAGGGAGCGCAAGTTAGGGGTAACATTGAGTACAATTGTGATTTGACCTGATTTAACCTTTTAGAAAGATTAAAGGGTGGGGGATAGGTATTGATAGGCACTGATAGGTGGAGACTAAACTGCAGGGGATTAAGGAAGGGTGGTAAACAGTGGTCAATTCTGGACTCTAACATTAGAGTCAACAGAATTTCTGAGGCTGTTGAAATTGTAGAAGGGTTGATCAGTGTCTAAACTCAAACTGGGTAGATGATGGAGAAGAAGAGAGAGATTTAAAACATAAAGATGAAATCTCGCAGAGCCAAGGTAGCTAAGTATATTTCTAAATTCTCCCATCTGGTTTTTATTGCAGAAGGATGAATAGATTGGTTGGTTGCTTGTTTGTCTGCTTGCCTGCTTAGTTTTAAAAAATTGTTTTGTTTTTGGCCATTTCTTTAGGAAAGGGAAGTTTGTCCAAGTTAATGTCTGGGAATGCACATCAGGAGTTGGATTAATTAGAGAGGTAGTAGAGAGTTGTGGTGAAGGCAGACAGATCTGGAATTGAACCCTTATTTTGCTGTCTATTAACCTTGTAAAGGTATTTGAGCTGTCTTTGCCTTAGCTTCTTTATCTGTAAAATGGAATACTATAATAATGCCTACTCGTAAGTTGTTGTAAAGATTAAATGAGAGTGATGTAAAGCTCTTAGGTGCTACCAGTGCTACTGTGCCCCAACAATAAGGCCAGTTAATATTGGTTGGCAAAATTTCTGACACCATTTGGGAGACTGGTTGACTTTGGCTCCCATGGTGATTTGCATCCAGATAGATGTGGAAGATCCTCCTCCTTCCACTTCCAAAAAGTGGAAGGTCTGAAGAGAGAGATGAATCAATCAATGTCTACTCTGGAGTATTAAAACTGACTTCAAAAATCTATGTCAGAAGAGGGAAGGAAAAATAATACCTTTTAATGTTTTGTTTGTTATTTTTATGTTTACTGTAAGTAATAACAAACACAAAAGTCATTCTTTTTCCCCCTGCGGGGGATCCAGTATGGGTGGACTCACACACAGTGCACATTGGTTAGTTGAAGTGGGGGGAGGGGTAAACGCCCAGCTGTAGGATAAAGGACAGCTGGTGTAGAGAATTCCCAGTAGGCCTTCTGGACCGGGGTCTCCAGTGTGGCTGGATCATCATTCCAGGAAGTTTTGTCTGCAGTTGTCAGGACAGGTGGCTGATAGCTATGCCAGGATGAGAGTAGAACAAGCCACACCTACTGGACACAGGTCTGCTTGGCCACTTGGGTGAGGAGTGTATGGAAGGAGTAGGGAGGAAACAGCCCATTAGTGAGGTCAGAAATAGACAGGAAGAGGACAGTAACATTTTATTCATGGTCATGAAATGAATGCCTGTCCCCCACCCTTTAAACAGGTGATGGCCGTGAAAACAGAGTTGAACTAATGTGTTGATCAGCTTTTCCACAGCTGTTAAATGCTTGAAATTCCAGGCTCTGCAGTGGTTCTCAGACTGGGGAGACTAAAGTTTAGAGTATATCAGAATTTTTAAGGGAACTTGTTCAAAGTGCAAAATTCCTGGGATTCTGATCCAAGAAGTCCTGGCTTGAGCCTGGGAGTATGTGTTTTAATACCCGCAAGCAAACATTTTTCCCCCAACTTTTTTTTGGCCAGTAAGAAGTATATTTTACAATGGCTCCCCTGGATGTGTATCTGAAACAAAAGTTTTACAAAATTATATATCCCCTTACTAAGGTATTTTCTATTTTATCCTAGCTCATTCTTTAAAGGAAAAAAAAAATGCTTAGCAAACTCACTAAATTGATGTTATGATCCATCAGTGAACCTCAGCCTACGGTTCCCAAATCTCAGCTCTGGGAGAACCTCAAGGGATCCTCCCAGTCATCTGTGTTTGTTCTGTAACTTCCTTTCAGTGATTCAACAAATATGTAATGAGCACCAGTGTAGGGATTGTGACTACAGCACAGAATGAGACAGGCAAAAGACCCCGCCCTTACACTGTACCTTATTCTTCATATCCCAATTTCCAGTTTTTTCATTACTCCTCTCACATCCCAGGGTTGGAGAACTTTTCCCAGAAATAAAGGGTTTGGGGCTGAGGAGTGCATTGGGGATAACCCTGCTTAGTTTTGCTGTGTTTTGCTTTTTCACCTACCAGCCTAGCAAAAAACACAAAAGTCCTCAAAGCGAATACAATCTCATATTTACTCTTTATGTTTTATGGGAAGAGGAAGGAAAACTCATCTGGGATTGCAAAATTGTTTATAGTTGTCCAGAAAGGAGGCATGGGGTGTTGCTACTTGACACAAATAGTCGTCAAATCCTGTTACATGAATAAAAACAAACTAATGCCTGGTAGGTATAAGTACCAGCGCTTCAGTGTCTGCTTCTGCTGCAAGTTTAATTTAATTATTTCTGCTTAAAGCAGGGGTTCTCAACCTTCCTCATGCCGTGATGTATTTTCATTGTTACAAAGGGTTTGCACCCCACAGGTTGAGAACTGCTGGCTTAAAGAGAGGAACAATTTTAAAAGTCAAAATTTTGGTTATGATTAGGATTACTTTGGATTTTCAGCTTGAACCTAAGCATAGGCAATGTCCTGAGAAATATGTCAAGTAAGGTGAGTTACCTATACTGCATAGGAAACCTCCGGTAAGCCTCTCTGCCCAGAGGAGTGTGGAAAGTATACAAGGTAAAGAGATTACAGAAGTGGGAGGGTGGGTTTGTACCTGAGGAATAACTGGAAACAGTAGTGGGTGAAGTAGGTTTGCTGATCTGGCCAGTTTGTGTCCTTTCCTGGCCTTAAAGTGTGTTTACTGTCACGGCTTTGAAGACTGGAGGCCTTGGGCTTAATAACTGTTTCCTTTAGTGTGGGGCTGGTGTGCAGCCATGGTCGGTTTAGCAGAGCAAATGGAGAAATGATTTCTGATTTTCCTTCCATGACGCCATAGTCAAGAATCCAGGAAACAGATGCTGATGTTTTGAGAATTAAATATGGCAAGTAAAATTAGATTAAGCATGTCACAGCCTGCATGCCAGTTATTAAAGCAGCTATCAGAGAAAAACGGCCCCTTCTGCCAGGTCAGCAGTCCACCCCAGGGCCCTCAAATCAGTGTCACCTCCCGCGACCAGCTGAGAGGAGCCTGGGGTCATTGCTCCTTCCTTTTGTGGTGAACTCACTGGTACCTCTCAGCTTCTTTATTTTAGTTACTCCTTTTCCCCCCACCACTCACTCCCTAACCCTAAGTGATTTCTTTTCCCCTAGAAAGTCAGATTTAATTCTCAGATTTTCTAAATTTGTAGAATGCTTATTGCTCAGAACAGAGGAGAGCGTAGAATCTTAGAGCATGCTAGGGTAGGAAGAGGGCACAATGGTAATAATAGTACACGGGGTTGCTGCAAAAACTCGAGTGAGTGTGCTTTAATAAATGCCTGAAACTTTTTTCAGGCTTCCAATAAATGGCAGTCTTAATTGTCAGATTATGTACTTGTTTACTAGTTCATCTCCCAGTGAGGCTGGCAGGCAAGGGTTGTGGCTTACACCCAACTCCCAGCACTAGAGCATCCATGAAATGTTTGTCGAAGTGGAGTCATAGGCCATCTTTGTCAATTTGAATGAGGAAACTGGTCCTAAAACACCAACAGTCTTGTCTATATATAAAATGAAGTCCGCATTCTCTTTGGGGTGTTCGTCGTTCCTTTGTGAAATTATCAATTGAGCACATCCCTGTATTCAGCTCTGTCTTCGGCCCTGGACGTGTAATAGTTAATTGGTTAATAAGGATTAACTTGTCCCTATTAGTACATTCACTGTTTGCATGAAGAGGGAGTAAAAGTAAATATTCATCTAGTCCTATTAGGCGCAAGGAATGGCGTTGGATGCTGGATGTAGGGCTGAGGTGGTGTTCTGGGTGGGAGTGCTTCTTCAAGCAAATGCCATTTAAGCCATATAATCTGGAGGACAAATAGGAGTTGGTTGGGTGAAGATAGAAGTTGGAGCACAAAGCCCTCTTAGCTCGGAACTATTTCCTCGCATGTTTATGGCCTAGGTCTTCTGGCCTCTGCTTTCATTGCTCTGCCAATTTTTCTTCCTAGCGTTTAAATTTAAATTACCTATCTTCTATTGCTCTTCTTTTTTTGTTTTTTGAGGCAATCTCATTCTTTTGCCCCAAGCTAGACTGTAGTTGAGTCAGCCTAGCTCACAGCAACCTCAAACTCTTGAGCTCAAGCCATCCTCCTGCCTCAGTCTCCCAAAAAGCTGGGACGACAAGCGCCCAGCTACTTTTTCTATTTTTATTTTTTATTTTACTTATTTATTTGGGCCGGGGTTGGGTTCAAACTCGCCACCTCTGGCATATGGGGCTAGTACCCTACTCCTTGGAGCCACAGGCACCGCCTTATTATTTTTTTTTTTTTTTAGAGACAGAGTTTCACTTTATTACTCTGGATAGTGTTGTGACATCACAGCTCATAGCAACTTCTAAGTCCTGGGCTTAGGTGATTCTCTTGCCTCAGCCTCCTGAGTAGCTGGGACTACAGGTGCCCACTACAACACCTGGCTATTTTTTGTTGCAGTTTGGCCAGGGCTGGGTTCGAACCTACCAACCTCGGTATATGGGACTGGGGCGCTACCCACTGAGCCACAGGTGCTGCCCGTACTTTTTCTATTTTTAATAGAGATGAGAAATCTTGCCCTTGCTCAGACTGGTTTCAAGTGATCCTCCTGGAATGCTAGGATTACAGCCTTGAGCCACTGCTTCTGGCCCTCCTATTGTTCTTCAAATTGTTTTTTATTTCTTAATGTCTTCCTAATAAAATAGGAAGCGCTAAGTTTTTTAATTTATTTATATTTCTCCTGCTCCCAGCAAGCTTTTTCAGTTTCCTTTCCCCAACTATTTTACTGGACACCATCAGTGCTATCTATAGCCCCTTAACACCATTTCCTTACTGCCAGAGGCTATTACCTGCACCTAGAAGTGACTCTGTGCTCCAGGGCTTTCTCTGGTCAGGAATGCTGACAGCCCCCCACTCAGTCTGACTGCCGTTAGGGGTACAGCTCTGGGTCAGGTTTAGATGGTCTGCTGGTGTCCTGGGAAGATCAGAGTCCCAGTTGCCCATGGCATTAACCTATCCCAAGTTGACTTCTTCCCTTCTGCTTTTCTCTTCTGCACTTTTTCCAGGGTTCCTGGCATCACTTACCAAATAGACTACTTGAAATCAGATCCTTAGGACCCAGACTTAGATAGAGGGAAGATACTGGGTTTTGGTAAATCACACCTGTTCAGACTGTGCATGTTTGCCTGCAGGTGAAAATTCAGAACAGCCCAGGAAAACAAAAGGACAAGAAGGCGAGGGCGGCGCCTGTGGCTCAAAGGAGTAGGGTGCCAGCCCCATATACCGCCAGCAGCGCCCCCACTCTGCGCTTTCCTCATGAGAGGAAAATGTGCAGACTTAATAGGGAAAGGAGGGAATAGAGGCGGGAAAGAAAAAGTTTGACTCTCTGCTGTAATATTTAATCTTTTATTGTTATTGTTTAATCTTAACATTAACCAACTTTGCAAAATAAATCTTTTTTATTTCCATTCCTACAGAAGTAGAAACTGAGGCCCAGAGAAATTTAAGTAACTTGCCTAATTCACAGACTCGAGGGTGGCATAGCCGGTTAAGTCTGTCCCATAGCTCTTAGAGTTGATGGGAGGTCATGCACCGGCCATCTCAGGATGGGCTCTGCAGATCTTAGTAAAATCTCAACATAATTGATTCAAGATAACTATGTATGCATTTTTTTGCCAGATAAAATACTAGAATGTAATTTACCTATGCAAGAGGCAGCAGAGGTGGGAGAGTTTGATTCCTGGGAGAAAAGCATACTTTGTTTCAACTTTCCAATTTGAGGGATAGGATAAAAGCCTGGTTTGAGAACCTTTGACTTTGAAGGAGCTTTGTGGTAATAACAGGGTGGTTGCTATACTGAGGAGCCTTGGCTCAACCTCCAGCTGTCTTCTTGGGTCATGGTCCAGGGTCAGTAGGGATGATCTGCCTTCATTTCTCTACCCCTGGCCTTCAGGGCTGCAGTTAGTCCTTTAATTTTCTCGTGGAGAGATGGGGGGCAACATTCATTGAGCAACTACATGCCTGTTATTCATTCTCCAAAAGAGGCCACTTCCTCCAGGAAGACCTCCCTGACCACTGTTTCACGCCCACATGCTGCACAGCATCCTGGTGCCTCTTGGAACCCATCAGGATGGTTTATCCTGTTTGTCTTTTAAACTCTGAGCAGAAGAAGTGTCAGGATCAAGTGTTGTTTATCTTTGTATTCCTAGAATCTAGAACAGACCTCGGCATACAGTATATGTTTAATAAATATTTAAATGGATTGTGGTAGTTCCTGGAAACACATAGATTATAAAAAAACAAACCCAGGCTCTCTTTCTCAAGAACTTGTGGCCTTGGCGGGGGAGGAGGGCCTAGACAGATGAGTAAGTTAATAATGAAGTTATGGTAAGTAAGCGACCTGTCCTTGGCGATATCATAGGAAGCATTGCATAGGAGTTGGGGCTTTAATAGGGATTTGATTTGAAATGAATAGGAATCAGGGGAGGGGGTGCGTGGGCATGTACTGACTCATGGAGATGTGGCGAAGAATGACTCAGTCTAAGAATTACAGGTAGCCCCAAATGGCTGGAACACGTTTCTAGATAACAAACCTAGCAGAACGTGTTGGGCCCTGGCTAAAAGCTTTACATTTTGCATTAAGTCATGGGGACTTCAGGCTAAATATCCGGGGGGAACTGTTGAAGGGCTGTTAAGGGAAGGGCATGATTGTCTTTTAAACTCTGAGCAGAATAAATGTCGGAACCATGTGTTGTTTATCTTTGTATTCCTAGAACCTAGACCAGGCCTCAGCATACAGTATATATTTAATAAATATTTAAATGGATGTGGTAGTTCCTGAGAATACGTAGATTATAAGAAAACAAACCCAGGTTCTTTTTCTCAAGAACTTGTGGCCTTGGCGGGGCAGCACCTGCGATGCTTGTCACCCTCCTTGGTATACTTCTCCATCGTGTCCTGAAGCCCGGCACAGGCACATGCTCGGTAGATACTGGTACAGCTGTGGGGTAGAGGACAGCTCTAGAGCTGGTGTGGAAGACTGAGGGGGGAGAGACCCAAGGAGGCAGTCACTGGACTCCTCTCACCACTCTCACAGTATACCATTGGCACATACTCACTTCCTTCTCGCCCATTCTCATGTTATCCTCGTCTTGTGGGCTTATTCCTTGTATTCCTACCTAAGAATTTAATATTTGTTGAATAGCTAGAGATTGTGTTTGTAAAAAATTGGTCTCTGACCTTCTATTGTGAGCACAGCAGCTAGAGTAATCCTTTTAACACTTGACAGTCTGTCATTTCTATACTCAGAAATGGCCCCCAGCCAAAGGCCTTATGATGTGACCCAGCTGATCTCACCTCTCCGAGTTCATCTTATATCAACCCCCTCGCTCACTCTGCTCTTCTACAGGGCCTCCTTGCCGTACCTCAGGACAGACATGCTATTCCTTGCACCTAGAACTGCTCCCAGAACAGCAGTTCTCAACCTGTGGGTCGCGACCCCTTTGTAACCACTGCCCCAGAAACTCATAGGGTTCATTCCTTGCTTTGTTCAAGCCCTTGCTGTGTGATCACGGTCTGAGGCCTTCCCTGACACAGTGTTCAGACGTGTAACACTCCCTTCTGGGCGCTCCCGTTTTCTCGTCTGTGCGGTTTAATTTTTCTGCATAGCACTAATCATTTTAACATATTTTGCAATTCACTTACTGTTCTACATGTGACTGGCCGTCCCCATCACTAAACTAAGTTGCATGAAGATAAAGCGTTTTGTCTGTCTTGTTTGCTGCTCTTTCCTCAGCACCTAAAATGGTACCTAGCACCACAACGGGAGCTCAGTAAATGTTTGTTGAATTAAGAAATGAGAGTACCCTTTTGACGTTAGTGCCTGTGATAAATTGACTTTAGTGTGCTTTCTGTACATCTGAAAGAAGAGGGTGGCTTCTTTTGCTTTTTAAGTAAGATCATCATGGAGTCCATATCAGAGAGATGAGGCCTTGCTTAGCAACCAGAAGCATCAGGATATTGTAGACACCACTGTAGGATGTGTGATGGGGTGGGGACTTGCTCTATGCCACTGCTCATGTCATCCTTGCCTACATATGGCCAGCTGGTGATGAAGCAAACAAGGATATGAAAAATAGTCTTGGCTTTCTCTTTTCTCATTTGCTGAGAAAGTGTGGTGCTCGTTTCAGAGTACACAGACAGTGGTTGAACAGAAAAATCATTGTGAGGATGAATCATCGGTGTTAAATTCCCCTTCTAGCTGAATATTGTGCATCCTCTCCATGCTTGGAAGGCCTCAGTGGATGGGAAAGGGTAAGAGAATGGTGATGGGCAAACATGTTTTTCCTTCTCCAAGGTGTTTCATGGGACTCCCTTCCAGACGAGCTGCTTTTGGGCATCTTTTCCTGTCTGTGCCTCCCTGAGCTGCTAAAGGTCTCCGGTGTTTGCAAGAGGTGGTATCGCCTAGCGTAAGTATTTGTCACCCCTTTGGCATATGTAGGGGAGGAAGAGAAGAAGAAGGTCATTCATTTTGTTCCGGTCAAACTAAAAACTATAAGAAAAGGAGCAGCACGGAGCAAACTGGGGATCTTCCTGCTTTTATTACTAGTGAGTGTCCTCATTTCACAGTGGCAGGGGGGACTTACCCGTTCTGAAAACCTCTTTGCCCTGCATTCATGTTAGCCCGTGGAGACTCTGGGGCAGGCAGTGTGCTGAGAGAAAGGAGGGAGTTACGGAGGTGCATGAACACGGCTGTTCCTCTCCGCAGTGGGCTGGCAAGAAGCAGGGTGGGGAGAGAGAACACGAGGCCCTGCCGTTAGACCCCAGTGCGAGCCCAGCCTCTGCCAGGTGCACTTTGCATGACCCGAGAAAGTCAACAGATGCTGACTCAGTCTCCCCGTATATACAGGGGGCAGTGTGGTACCTCTAGCACAGGGCAGTTATGGGGCTTACGTGTGAAGATGCTGGTGCAGGGCCTCACTCAGAGACATGTTCAGCACAGGGCAGCCACTGTGAGTGTTTTTACTGTTTGGGCCAACACTGTTCAGGTGTGGAAAGTGAACTGCACATGGAAAGTTTTGGGGAGCTGGGAAGGTAGTAACAGGCCTCAAGTCAGAGAAAGCCTATATTCTGTATTTTCAATAGGAACTTGAAATATGTAGAAAGAGAACGATGGAAGCTTATCCCTGACATGACCAAGAAATAGTCAGTAGTGCCTTAAGACTATCACAGCTAATTGTGTAGTCAGCTTAAAAACAAAGGTCCCCTCAGAATTTGCTTTAGAAGGATTTAGTACCTGTGACCTGGTTAGTAATGTTGTAGTGGGCTTCCAGCTTTCAGGGTGACCAACCTCCCACATCATGCACCCCCTCTTCTCTAGGTTTGATGAGTCCCTATGGCAGACGTTAGACCTCACAGGTAAAAATCTGAGCCCAGATGTGATTGGCCGGTTGCTGTCTCGAGGGGTGATTGCCTTTCGCTGCCCACGATCATTTGTAGATCAACCATTGGTGGAACATTTCAGGTAAACAAGAAAAATCCCCAGAAATGACTGTTTCTCAATCTTGAGGTACAGATAAATCCAGACTTCTGTTTAGCTTTTCTGGTTTTCCAGTCCGTGGTGGTGTGGGATGTGAGTTGCGTGCTTTCCCCATGCACCTTCTGTTTGCATGTCACATGTGTTTTTGACACCATTTGACTCAGGATTACTGTTAGGCTCTTCCCAGGGGTAAAGATGCGCATTTAGCTCCTCAAGTCTGGTCCTCCGCAGGTGGATTGTGAGTTTCCCTAGGTCACAGCCAAGCAGAACGCTCCATTACAGATGCAAGGCAGGCTGGTGGTCTCCCCACTGCTCATTTCTGATAAGCAAAAGTCTGAGGACTCTGCAGGTTTCTACTCGGGGATTTCTGATCGTACCATGGGGAAGAATGCCCTCTTTTTCCTGTGTGGAATATTTTGAGAAAATACTTCTATTACTGATAATTTGGCAATATGAAGGTTTATGGCCACCATCTCATCTTAATCCACTTGCTGGCCTGGGACAAAGTATGTCCTGTACACTCTGGACACTCAGTTCCTCATGTATAGCTCAGCCCTCTCTTTCAAATTCCCACATTTCAAATTACTTAAAAACTTCACCTGAATTTCAACTACTTCAGTATTAGCGTATCTAAAGTTAAACTTGGCCTCCCTTTAAAACATGCTCTTCTACTGTCTTCCCTGTGTTAGTAAATACCACTGCCTCTCACGCACTCACCCACCAGAAACCAGGACTCATTACAAGCTTAACTTCCCCAGCCACATCCAACTCATTCCCATCATGCCCAGGAATCCTCTTCAATTTGAGTGAGGATGGGAATAAGCTGGTTCCAATGTGTTTTAGAGTCAATACTTGAAATGTGTATTTAGGATCTTCTTTGTCATTGGCTGGTCATTTGGGGAGAAGGGGTCTCATTTGATCTGGATGTACCTGTGAGAGCCACCTTACCAAGCCTCTTTTTTCCTTCTGCACTCAGCCCTTTTCGTGTTCAGCATATGGACCTGTCAAACTCAGTCATGGATGTGTCTATCCTCCATGGCATTCTGTCTCAGTGCTCCAAGTTACAGAATCTGAGCCTGGAAGGCCTGCGGCTTTCGGATCCCATCGTCAAGTGAGTGACGGCCAGACTATGTCACAAAGGCAACAGTTTTTATTATGTGAATTATGTTCCCTGTGTATAACTGGGATGCCGTTCTACCATATCTAGTTGGACATAGAAAATATCTAGTGCAATAAGGACTCCAGCTTCTGCAAAATTTTCCCAGACTCCTGGAGATAACAAAAGTTTGAATGGTAACTGCAGTAGAACCTCCTTAGTTCACCACTTCCCTACATTGGCCACCTCTTTAAGTTGACCTAATTTTCCTAGACTGGACACGGACCACATGTACATATCAGTCGAGTAGGCCTAGTTCTTAGGTTGACCACCTCTGAGTGTTGCCCAGGTACAGTCCCTTGGGTGTGCAGAGATTCTACTGTATGTGCTAGGTTCTAGAGATACAAGGATGAACAATTCCTGGTCCCTGTCTCATTGATGGGAGCGACAGATAATTACCCTGTAGTATGTTTATTAAATGCCTTGATGTTTATTTGGCAACACACACGCAGGAGACCTAATTAAATTTAGGGAGGGCAGCCTTCTTAGAGGAAGTGACTCTTAAGCCAAGTATTAAGGATATCTAGGTAGGATCTCCAAATGACAGGACAAAGGAAGCAGCCAGAGTGAAGCTGCCTGTGGGGTTCTAAACTCTTAAGTAGTTGGAAGTGGCTAGAGCACAAGACTCAGACGTAGGGAGGGAAGTGACAGGAGGTGAGCAGAGTCAGAGACCAGATTACAATGGGCCTCTGTGTCCCTGTAAGAAGCCTGGACTCTGGGGTAGTATATAAAGAGGGGAGCATGGAGGAGAGAGTGGTCTGAGAATGGTGGGAACACGTCAGAGTTGGAATTTAGCAAATTAACCAGGCACCGTGGAGGGTCCATCAGACATAGAAGAAACTAGGGGAGTTTGGATATTGTTGGGTTCATTCAGGTGAGAAAAGAAGAAACCTGATATAAAAAATGTAATAGCAGCTAACATTTGGGAGGCATTGATCATGTACCAGGTACTAACTTCTTTAAATGCATTCTTATTTCATTCTGACAGCAACCCGATAAAGTATGTTCTTACTGTTACCTGTTTATGGATATGGAAAATGAGAGACTAAATAATTTGTTCCAAGCCACACAGAGGTGGCTGAACCAAAATTTGAACCTTAATCAGAATTCTTGCTGTTCATCACTAAGTTTCACTGACAAAGGACATTTGGGAATGTTATAAAAGAGAAGGCAGATTTGAGAGACGTTTAATCAAAAGAACCTATTGATTTTACAAGTAAAAGTTTGTCTATAAGCTAATTCCAATTATGGGTGAAATGGATATATGTTTATTTCATTGTTTTTTTAATTCAAAAAGTATCCTGATGTTTCTTACACATTTATTCTATGCTAAGTCCCTTATTACGTTATACATAGTATCATTTAATCTTAATAACCTATTAAGTGATATGTGAATTTTATTTATGTTTTAGACACAGAGTCTCATCCTGCTGCCCAGGCTGGAGTGCCATGGCAGGATCATGGCTCACTGCAGACTTGAACTCTTAGGCTCAAGTGGTTCTCCTGCCTCAGCTTTCTAAGTACCTGGGACTGCAGGTGTTCACCACCATGCATGGACTTTTTATAGAGACTGGGTCATGCTGTGTTGCCTTGGCTGGTCTCAAACCCCTGTCCTAAAACAATCCTTCACCTCAGCTTCTGAAAGTGTTGGGACTGAAGACATGAGCTATCATAGTGAATTTAAACTCACTTCTCTTTACAACAGTGTTTTTCAACCTTTTTTATCTGTGGCAGACTATAGTTAAACTTTTGTGGCACACTTAAATTATGGTGGTCAAAAATAAGAATTAAAAAAAGAATATACTCAGTGGGTAGGGTGCCAGCCCCATATACCAAGGGTGGCGGCTTCAAACCTAGCCCCAGCCAAACTGCAACAAAAAAATAGCTGGGCGTTATGGTGGGCACTTGTAGTCCCAGCTACTCGGGAGACTGAGGCAAGAGAATCACCTAAGCCCAGGAGTTGGAGGTTGCTATGAGCTGTGTGATGCCATGGCACTCTACCGAGGGCGGTAAAGTGAGACTCAGTCTCTACAAAAAAAAATATATACTTACTGTGCTTTGAACTTCCTTCAAAAGTAATTTAATTTTTAAAATTTTTCATGGCACACAGGCATATGTCCTTAAATACACTAGTCTGCTTTTATCTGAATGTTTATTGATCAAAAAGAATGTCTGCTGGTCTTATTCTTCTGGTTTTATTCTCTTTTTCTAGTAATCTTGCGCAGAACTCAAACTTAATCCGCCTAAATCTTTCTGGGTGTTCTGGATTCTCTGAAATGGCCCTGAAGACTTTGCTAAGCAGCTGTTCCAGGTAGGAAAGTTTTGAGATTTGATTATAGAACCATTGTATCAAATTAGCCTTAACATGTAAGTAGAATTGGATAAATTTTTCAAGCTATTCCTGACTCTTTACTTTAGGCTCTTCATTTGGATAATATAATGTTCTTTGCCCTCAAATTTTTTTGTCTAAACTCAGGAGTGTGTTTAACAACCTCTGGTTGAAAGAAAACTGTTTACACTGACTGTACTGTCTGGTTCTTTCCAACAATACTTGTAGACTTAAGTTGTTTTTGATCAAGTCAGTGTATTGTAAATATAGACCATAAATTTGGGCGATTGCATTAACAACATCTTTTATAATAATGTCAGCGGATAAAGGCTGCAGAGTTACAGATATTACTAAGTGAGGGAATATGTGGTTTTATAGAATCTACAATACTGTGTGCACATGTGTATGCTTTTTTTTGAGACAGTCTCAAGCTGTCACCCTGGATCGAGTGCCATGGCATCATCATAGCTTATAGCAATCTCCCAACTCTCGGGCTCAAGCAATCTTCTTGCCTCAATTTTTTCTATTTTTAATAGAGATGGGGTCTCGCTGTTACTTGGGCTGCTCTGATCTCGAACCCACCTGCTCAGTCTCCTAGGGTGCTAGGATTATAGGCGTGAGGCACCACACCCAGCCTGTATGTGCTTTTTTAAATATCACCTGGTCTCTGTGGTATAGTATTTGTACATGTACTATTAATGATCTGTTGAAAATAGATTGCCCTTGGATAAAAATATTACCTGTGAGATAACATGTATATTCCTACATTTAGTTAGCAGAGCCGGGAAGTGGAGAGTGGGGTTTAATATGGTGGGACATTTTCTCTAAAACCCTCATTTGCTAGATTAGCGGAGGCATGTAAGATGCAGTGGCAGCATATCTTTATTAGGAATTCCCAGTGCATCCATGAATTTTTTTACAAACATTTCAGTGATGACTCAGTCTGTGGTTGGTGGTGACTTGAGAAAGAAAACATCAAGGCTAGAATTCTTGCTTTCAGTCTTGGAATGAAGCTTGAGCTGGTGGGAGAGGAAGGTGCTTCCTTCCATTTCCAGAAGGGGGCAGCATTCACTAAGGCCTTTCTTTGATCCCCAATCAACTTGAAGGGGCAAACCCGGCAGGCTCTCTGCTGCGAGAGACACAGGCATTCTGTGCATAACATCTAAGGAATCTACTGTGTATGTTCTTAATATGCAGCTTAATGCAAACCCATTCCTGTGTGACGGTTTCATACTTTTCTGTTTCCCTCCTTTTGTGCAGACTGGAAGAGCTGAACCTCTCTTGGTGTTATGACTTCACTGAGAAGCATGTGCAAGTTGCTGTTGCACACGTGTCGGAGACCATCACCCAGCTGAATCTCAGTGGCTACCGAAAGAACCTCCAGAAGTCAGGTTAGCACTTCTGGGCCTGGGCTGCTAGGAATAGGTTGGATTTATTGAGCTGCTCCTCTGCGCTCTTCTACATAAGTGGTCTCATTTCAGCCAGTACATGTGTTACTTCCATTTTTCAGCTGCTAATCAAAAGGGTTCAGTCATGGTGAGCAGCTAGATCTGAACTCAGGATTTAGAAGTAGAAACCTTTAGACTTGAAAATTATTTTTAAGCAGAGCTTCTTTTAATCAATTCAATTGTTTGTTAAAACACCAGCATAAGGGCAGTGCCTGTGACTCAAAGGAGTAGGGTGCCGGCCCCATATGCTGGAGGTGGTGGGTTCAAACCCAGCCCCAGCCAAAAACAGCAAAAAAAAAAAAAAAAAAAAAACCAACATAAATAAATAGACAAAGGATAGTATTTGATTAGTGTTAAGTAGTGGTTCTCAACTGAGGGGTAATTTTGCCTGCCAAGACATTTGGCAATGTCTGTAGACATTTTTGATTGTAGCTGCAGGGGAGTTGCTGGCATCTAGTAAGCAGAAGCCAGGAGTACTGCTCAACTCTGCCTGGGACAGCAGGAACTCTGTCTGCATGGGATAGCACACAGAAAACAATCTGGCTGAAATGTCAGTAGTGCCAAGGTTGAAAAGTTCCTATTTATAACTTTTACTTTTTAATTCAGTCTGTGAGGGCAAAAGGGTAGTTTAGATGAACACAGGTACTTTGAAGTCAGGAATAGTGGGTAATAGTTATGGTTTCATAAACCTTAACATTTGGTTATGCTTTGTTTCATTTGTATAATATTGAGGAAATCTTGATTGGCAAAGAGAAATGGTTGCAAATGGCAAGAATTCAGTTAGGCTAACGTTCAGTCTGTAGTCTATACAAATCCTATTTAAACTAGCAGCATACATCAGTCATTTTGACCTCCTGATACTGGTACTAACTCATTTAAGTATATATGTTTTATTTATTAGTTTTTATTATACTTAAAAAGATTTTAATCAAACATTTGCAGAATCTATCCTAAAATTTAAGTAACATTTGAACTACTTCTCCAGGACATAATGTGTCTTTTGATAAGTAAGTATCCGGCATACCTAAGGACTCAGATTTGGACCATTCTCTTTCCAAATGCTTGCATTCTCAGACAGGCAGAACATTTTCTTTAGAGACTCATCAAAACAGCAAACATATCTTGATTTCTTACCACTCTCCCCACCCAGTATTTCCGTTCTACATTTTTTCCCTTTAAACACTATTTTAAATCTGATGCTAATATTATACAGTCATTCTCAAAAATATGTAAAATATAGAAAAACACAACTCACCACAATCCAACATCTTGCCAGTCTTTTCTCTTGTGCAAAAGTGTTTCTTTTTTTTTTTTATGACACGTAATATATAAGATACTTTGTAATATGCTATTTTTTTTTCCAGGTAACCTCATTTTCAATGGCTATGTGATATTCTATCAAATAGATCTGGAATAATTTATATTAAGGCAATAATTTATGTAGTTGATCTCCTTCTAACGGACACTTGGAATCTTGCTAGTTTTTCCTTTCTATAAACAACTTTCTAATGGACAGAGAGAAATCTTTGGGTGCACTTATAAGGATAGATTTCTTTTTATTATTTTTGTTTTTACATGTATGTGTGTTTATTAGGTTTCCACTTTTTACCTTCACAAAATTAAAAAGGCTTAAAATTTAATAACAATAACAAAGGATAGATTCTTAAAAGTGGAATTACTTAAAAGTAGAATCAAAGATTAGCCACTGTTTTCAAGGTTTCAATAGTTTTTGCCAAATTACCTTCCGGGGAGTTTAAGCTCCCACCCAGGAGTATCCCCTTCATGTAGAATCCCACCACTTTTGGTTCTTCCCTGTTCATTCACCAGGGAAGGGAAGGCAGTGCCCCATTTACAATCTTTCCCACATCTGGGTCTCCCACTACTTACTGGAAGTTTTTCTGAAATGAACTAAAGCTCTGGCTGTAAGGTTGAGAAACCACTCTATTCAAACCACTGTTAATTAAGCTAAACTCTTCTCTTTGTTTCTTCAAGAAAAAGAACCTGTTTACTGAGTTTTGGCAGAAATATTAGGTAATAAACTCCTGCTTGCTAGACACATTGAGGGCAAGAGCAAAGAGACAGAGGACAGAGTATGGACTGAAGTGTTAGTGGAAGGAAAAAAATTACATTAATGTCTTTAACAATAGCATACACCATTTCCTTATGTAGAAGATAATATGGATTTGGGTCTTTGTTTTTTTTTTTAAAACAGTCTCATTATGTCACCCTCGGTAGAGTGTTGTGGCATCACAGCTCACAGCAACCTCACACTCTTGGACTTAAAAGATTTTCTTCCCTCAGCCTCCCAAGTAGCTGGGACTACAGGCACCTGCCACAACACCTGGCTATTTTTTGGTTGTAATTGTCATTGTTATTTGGCAGGCCCGGACTGGGTTTGAACCCACCAGCTCTGGTTTTATATGTGATTGGCACCCTAGCTACTGAGCTACAGGTGCTGAGCCTATGGATTTGGTTTTAGCTCATAATCTGGCGCCAGACTCCCTTGGGTTCAAATACTCACTCTGACATTTACTGGGTAGCCTTGAGCAAGTTGCCTAAATGTCTGTTCCTCATTCCTCATCAATAAAATAGAGGTAAATAGAGTCCACCTGTAAAAGAACAGATGAGTCAATATGTGTACACCACATGGAGCACTTTTGGCACATAGAGCTCAGTTCTGTTGGCTATTAGCATTATTGCCTCCACCTCCATCACTGCTTTTCCATGGGGTAATGGATAAGCACTCAACAGGGGCCTGGAAGACCTTGATCTCTGTGGCTAAAAATCGCCTGTCCTCTGAAGTGATGGTTTGCATTACATGGTTTCTAAGATCCCTTCTAGCTCAAGTGGATCTACTGTTTGTGATAACATGAAGGGGGCAGTGAAGACAGATTCTTGGCAGTGACTACTGTTGGCTAAACCTTCCTGCCAAGGGAAGAAGGGGCTTAAATGAAGACCGGAGATGGAAACCTATTTTATCCCCAAGTGTTTGGTTCTTTCTTCAGTGGTGTCAAAGTAAAGTTGCATCAGATTTTGTTGATAGCTATTTGGCCACTCAGCATTTTATTGTGCACTTTCTTCAATTTTTGTTCATTAAACAAATGTTGGTTGAGCACCTACGATGCCTGAAGCTCTCTTCCAGACTCAGGTGATGTAGCTTTGAATAAAACACAGGTAGTCACTCTTGTGAAGCTTGCTTTCTAATGGGAGAGCCAGACAATAAACAAATTTTCTAAATGTTATGAAAGGAGGTAAAAATATAAGTAGGAAAAATAAAGCAGAGTAAACAGGTAGAATGTGACTGAAAGGGGACTAGATTGGGGTGGAATAGACAATGAGAAGGTCTCTCTAAAGCAGGCATCCTCAAACTACGGCCCTCAGGCCACATGCGGCCCACCGGGTGTTTTTGCTGCCTGTCCTGCTTAGCAGCCATCTCGTCCCGCGGCCCCCAGTCTGGCCCTCCAGTGGTCTGAGGGACAGTGAACTGGCCCCCTGTTTAAAAAGTCTGAGGACCCCTGTGAGTTGACACTTGAGCAGGTGATTGAGTAAAGTAGGAATCCATATGGATATGTGAGAGAAGAACATTCTATCTAGAAAAGGACCAGCAAGTGCAAAGACCTTGATATGAAACCAGTATGGAAGAGGGACCTAGGAAGACAGAGGAGATGAAATAACCATGAGCTTGGCTTGGCCACCTATAGCTCAACGGGCTAGGGTGCCAGCCACGTACACTGAAGCTGGCAGGTTCAAATCCAGCCTGGGCCTGCCAAACAACAGTGACAACTACAACCAAAATATAGCCGGGTGTTGTGGTGGGTGCCTATAGTCCTGGCTACTTGGGAGGCTGAGGCAAGAGAAGCCCAAAAGTTAGAGGTTGCTGTGAGCTATGATGTCACGGTACTCTACAACTCTGTCTCAAAAAAAAAAAGAGAGAAAGAAAGAATCTCTGAGCCAAGGATAGAAGCTTTGGATTTTTCCTGAATGAGATGGGAAGCCATTAGAGTATTTTGAGCAGCAATGTTATGATCTGACTGAATTTTAAAAAACTTACTCTAGTGCTACATTGAGAAAAGGCTTAAGGGTAGAAGTGTGAAGTAGGGCAGCTAAGAGACTGGGTGGTCATGTTTAAGGTCGTAAGAAATGATCAGATTGGTGGCACATTTTGAAAACTGATATAATAGGATTTGATGACAGACTAGCTGTGGGATGTGAGAAAAACACTCAATTTTGAGTGCAAGAGTGTTGGCCCAAGCAACGTTATGAAGTTGTCACTTATCGAAATGGGAAAGACTTTAGGGAAGGAGCAGATTGAGGAGAGAAATTGAGCATTTGGCTTTAGACATAAATTTGGTTGCCTAACCATGAAGCACTGTGTGTATGTCCAGGCTGGGAAAGTCCAAGTCCAGAATTCAGGGGAAAAGGTGTAGCCAAAGATGCAGCTGTGAGAAGGAAAAACCCTCAAATGTTAATGAAGTTTGCCAGTTGTTTTATATAAGTAATATTTATTGATTTAAAAAATCAATAAATAAAACCCTCAAATGTTAATGAAGTTTGCCGGTTGTTTTATATAAAGTAGCCCACATAACTTTCTTCCAAATTCTGAAAAGTTACCTATACTCCCAACAGTATAGGTCAGTAGAATTAACATTTTGGTATATTTCCTTCCAGCCTTTTTTTTGTCTTTCTTCCCTTTCTGTGTACACATTTGAGTGTACATGAGAGTTTGTATATGTATTTTCGTTAAACTGAGATTATAATGCATTGTATACATTTTGTTGTGTTTACTATGCAATATATCTCTGTATTTTTTCATGTCATGAAATGTTATCAAAAAGCATTTTAAGAATAACAATTAGCATTGTATCCATGGCATGGGTGAGGTTAACATATTAAGCTGTAATAATTGGAAAAGAGGCTGTTACAACTATTGCTTCATTGGCTGTATTCATAAAAGTAGAATTATTAGACAAAGGGGCAAAATGAGTAGTGCTCTGAATTCTTTAAAATGGTGATCAGTTTAGCCTCCTGCAAATCTGTACATAAAACTAAATATCTACTTGTCACTAGTTCATCATAGCTCACCACAACCTCAAACTGCTATACAAAAGCAATTTCTCTTGCCTCAGCCTCTTGAGTAGCTGGGACTACAGGCATATACCACTCTGCCCCCTTTATTTTTCTATTTTTATATAGTTTGTCTTTTTTTTTCTTTATAAGACTTAATTCTTTGATGAATGTTGTAAACACTACCCCCAGTTTTCTGTTACCTGTTTTCTTTTAAAAAATGTATGTAGTAAATTTAAGCATGTGTTCCCCGTAAGTTTTCTTCTGTGTTTAAAAATGCCTGACCAATCCCAAGATTCAATAAATAATTTTCCATATTTTTGCATTTAGAACTTTTTATGTGAAATTTCTTTGGGTAAATTTATCTGGAATAGCAATATTTTAAAATAATCTATGATTTGCTTCCGGGATTTAAAGTACCACCTTTACCATGGTTTGTTTACATGTTCTAGTGTGTTTATATATTCAAGTGTTTGGTTTTGCATTTTGCTATCATGAATGGGATTGTTTTCTCCTCCATTATTTTTTTAGCCAGTTATTGCTAATACATAGATAAGCCAAGGATCAGTCCTTTTGCATTTCTAGTCGTTTTTCCAAACATGATTCTCTCGGGTTTTCTGGGTAGAAAATTTTGTATGACAAGATGATCGTTTTTAATCTTTCTAATAGTGTGCAACTCTAATTGCATTGTTCAAACTTCTAGCACAATGTTAAGTGCCAATAGTGACAGCAGATGTTCTTGTCTTGTTCCTCATTTAATAGTGACCATCATGTATGTTTCTTTTTCCTAGATGTCTCTACTTTAGTTAGAAGATGCCCCAATCTTGTCCACCTAGACTTAAGGTATTTTTTTGTTTGTTTGTTTTAGATCAAAGTTGAAAAAAATCTTCATTTCTCATTGAGTGGGGAAATGATCTTAATGTTGAATTGAAGAAACTAAGCAGTAACTTATTTCTGTCTTTTCCATCTAGGATCAATGGTGGTTTTGAATGTTTTCTTCTGCTTTGTTACAGTGATAGTGTTATGCTAAAGAATGACTGCTTTCAGGAATTTTACCAGCTCAACTACCTCCAACATCTATCACTCAGTCGGTGCTATGATATAATACCTGAAACTTTACTGTAAGTATGTTTTATTTTTAATACTAATAGAAGACAGGGACCAACAGAGATGCCACCTGCTGTTAAAATCCATTATTATTAATAGCAGATGTTTAAAATTTAAACATTAATATTTGTATACCACAAACTGGCCAGGAAAGCCAGCAGAGAAACCAAGGCAGAGTGTTTTGCTTAAAATGTCTTGTAACATTGAGTTGTCTGAGATTTTCACTAAACATTTACTACTAGATAGTTTTAATTACTAACTTAGCATACTAATATCTTTGGAGGATTTGGAAGAGATGCAGATCGCCTTTACCTTCTGGGAACACAGTAGACAGAAGCAGACCCAGTATGTGTGGGTTGGTGTCTCTGCTGTCTCCCCCACAACCCCCCAATTTTTCAAATCAACTCAATTGAATCCTAAGACCTTCATCTGAGCTCAAAGGAAAAGGTCTGCACCATCTATTGATGTATGTCCTAGATGGTCAAGGAATAGGAAGAGTAGAAACATGTAGGTGGTATATATCATGATAGTCTGATGCTCTCTTTGAACAGGGGGTAAATTAAGGTCCAAAAAAGGTAAAGTGATTTTTCAAACCAGATCTTTGGAACCTACAGCCCCAGGCCTCGTGTGGCCCTCCAGATCCCAAGGTATGGCCTCTCGACTGAATTTAAACTCACAGAACAAGGATTAAAAGGATTTGTTCTGAAAAATTTGGGTTTAGTCAAAATGCCACACTCAAAGATCCAGAAGGCTACCGGTGACCCCAAGGCTGCAGGTTCCCTGCCCTTATATCTGCATCTAATCAGCTCAGCAAGTCCACAGAAGCAAGGGAGTACAAAGAAAAAGGCAGTCTAGTCCATCTTTCTTTTGGGAACCACGTCTACAAGTTACCCTGGGAATAATATCATCTTTCTGTTTTTAAAGTGGTTTCCTTTATTTTATCCCAAAGACCCAGGAAAATCTTGGTAATGTCACATGTAAATGTGCAGCAATTTTACTAAAAACCACAAGAGGTCAGTATCTTGGCCCTGGTCGTTTGTCTATTTGTTATGGCCAACATTCCCTGAGTCTACTGCAGAACTCATTAAATGAAAGTAAGTTAGCTTTGAGTTCCTACTTGAGAAGGATGTAAACTTGAATGACAATTTATTAGTCTTTAATTGTTTGTATCTTATAAGTTAGTTTTAAAAATTAATGAATAAATCACATACTCCAGCTGTACAAAGTTAATGGGTAAAATTAGAAAATCTGGTAATCGTGTGTTTTTATTAATCTTGGGGCTCAGGGCCTGAACTGGTATCTCATTTGGAAAAGCATTGCCTAAAAAAGGATGCTTAGATGGCTCTCAGATATGGGGGTTTAAATTCATATATGTGGAACTCTTATTAAAATTCCTGCCCTCTCTATTTTCTAGCATCCAGAACTCCTAGGACCTTCTAACGTCTACCCAAAAAGGTTTCTCTGTCATCCATTCTTTCCTGTCCTTGCCAAAGGGCTCCTGCTTCTTTGCCTGTGCAGCCCCCTGGGGAGTGTGATGATAATTCTTTTCTGGTTGCTTTTCTCAAGAGAATATGTCCATGTTTCTTGCTTTTGTTCCTTCTCTGCAGAAAGAAGCTCAGCAGGTAATAATCCAAATGCTTTTTCTTAATCAGAGGCTGTGAGCCCTCACAGTTTAGCATTTTTATCTAGTGGGAGAATAACAGTAAAAGCAATACCTGCATAATAATCACGTAGTAATACCTATAGGTAGTGGGAATTGATGGTTAAGAAAATGGGCCTGAAGCTACAGACCTAGGGGTGAACTTTCACTTCATTACTATTGTTCGTCTAAATCTCATCATGAAATAAGAGAAACAGGAGCATTAGGAAATTATAAATCAGACCACCAGATAGAGTGAGAAGAAAAAAGATGCCATTCTTGAACTTTAAGGTAAAAAAGTGTGATTTTATGTTGTGAATCCTTTAAGATGAATTTTTTGGTACCCTATCCTTAATAGTTACTCAAGATAAAATGAGAATTAGAAGGACTCTAATTTCAGACATTCTGTCAGCTGATATATTTGAGATTCATTATAAAAATTCCAGGGTGCCTCAATAATTTCTAGAGAGCTGTGTATACTAAAGAATTTAAGAGGCTAGCGCCTGTAGTACAGTGGTTAGGGCGCCAGCCACATACATCCAGAGTAGCGGGTTCAAACCCAGCCTGGGCCAACTAAACAACAATGACAACTGCAACAAAAAAAATAGCTGGGCGTTGTGGTGGGTGCCTGTAGTCCCAGCTACTTGGGAGGCTTAGGCAAGAGAATTTACTTAAGCCCGAGAGTTTGAGGTTGCTGTGAGATGTGACTGCCATAGCACTCTACCATGTGCGACATACTGAGACTCTGTCTCAAAAAAAAAAATAAAGAAAGAATTTAAGGCTATTTCTTAGAACTGAGAAAATAAAATTAATCTTTCTTCTATAATGCTTTAAAATACTCAGGAAATTGTAGGTTTTTCTTCCTCAGGATCTATTCCCATTGTATTTATTCTCTTCTTAATTAGTCCTGTTCCCTGTATCTAAACATTCTTTTTTTTTTAATTTTTATTAAATCATAGCTGTGTACATTGATACTATCATGGGATACAGTGTGCGCTAAACTTTCTTTTAATTATTCCCTATTTCTTGTTCAAGTAAGAAACTCAAGCTGGAAATAGTAAAATGATCTGAGATTAGGGGAGACTGAAGTCTCCTGTGGTGGGAGATTTGCACTTAAGGCATTTAAGGTTTTATATGGATTATTTGAGGTAAGGAATAAACCTGTGAAAGAGTTTGTCGATATCTTCTACTTACTAAAATTAAACAAAGATACTTAAGACATTATTGATTTTGCACTTCTTCACTAGAAACAATAGCTCTAAACCGTTCATCCCTGTTTGCTGTCTATCCCTTTCATTGCTCTTCACTACCTTCCTTCCTTCATGGTATTAAAATACTCACCAATGTGTGTTCTGTGTTGTTCGTAGGCAATGCCCATACCAAGAGGGTTTGGGGTTGTTGCTTGTTTTTGCTGTGGTTGTGGGGTTTTTGTTTGTTTTGGTCTCCTTAAAATTTTAGAGACTTTCTGGGTTTTTGGCTTGAGAACTGGTCCTTCACCCATCATCCCATCTTATTTATACGCTCCCCTTCTCCCATGTAACACCCCTGTGTGCTCTGAGAATCTAGTCTTAATTTCTGTCCTCATCAAATCTCTCTCCCAGCGCTGTTGCGAGAACATTCCCTCCTTTGCCATCTGCCATACCTCCTTTTCCTACTCCCACCTACACTTTCTTCTTTTAAATGTGATGCACTACAAAATGGCTCACCAACTGGGCTAAATTGGGTACCCCAGAACCAGAATTCACACAGTTACTGCAAAGTTCTCATTTCTCAAATTCCAAGTAAGAGGGATTCAAAGTTGGAATGGGATGACTGTCATCTTGACTGATAAGTACAAACATCTGTGTATTGTGACTTATATACTCCTATTTCTACATTCCCGAAATCAGTTTACTTTAAAAATGACAGCAATTTGTTCTTCCTGATTTTTCTTTTGGTCTGTCTTACTCTCCCTTTATGAATAAGTGTATTTATTTTATTTTGACAGTGCTTGTATTTCCTACATTACCCTTCATCTTCTATTCAGCTAACATATATGAAAGAGCTGTAGGGTTTAAGACACCTTCTGGAATGTAGAACACATCCATTTAGAGGGGGAATGGGAAGACTGGAAGAACAGGTTATGCGAAGAAGGGCATCAGGCCAGCTGAACAAGCCTGGATTCTGTAAACAGGAGGCAGGCATCAGAGGTTTTAGAGCAGAGGAATGACATAATCTGAGCTAGGCTTTAGGAGGATGCATTGCGATATTGGTATATATCTGGAAGGAAAAAAGATGGGAGGCCAGGTGACAGTTTCTAGAAGGAAAGTTTGTTTTTTATTTTTAAGTCATATTGACCATGTGAAAATATAGAGGATGCTTGTAACTCCAGGTCATTGATGTGTTGTTCATTGATCTGTAGTGAAATTTTGTTGAAATTTCAAAATGTTCCCTTTCCTGAGACTTTGTACTATGTCCCAACCTGGAGCAAATACAGATCAGAGAGATGAATTTTTAGGCACATAGATCTAGGTTAAGAAGAAAGAATTATTACCAAAACCAAACAGTATTTATTTTGAAGAAACAGGCTCCCTTTTTTTGTGAACCAGAATTTTGCTGTTGACAGAGTCATATTTTACCTAGTTTGAAATACCTAAGAGGATGGACTTATCTGTGACGGAAAAATAATGGTAACCTGGAAAGCAGGGGAAATGGCTATTGCCTCCTAGGAGTGGCTATTTTAGTGGAAAGGTGTGATCGGTCACCCATTTTCTCCGTCTGTACTCAACTATGTAACTCCCATCTAAAATATCTTGGGAAAGTCACTGGTAGTTTTCATCACACATAATGGACTTACTGAGTCTGAACCATTTTTAAGAATTCCATCAACCCTGCTGACATCTCCTTTTGAGAAATGGAGCCCGGTTCAAAGAAAGGTCAACTCCATATCCTTAAATCGTTTGGTGGTGGTTCCAGCCGATACCACAGAAAACATGGACTGTTACTTGCTTGCTAATTTCTTCTCACAACATGGTAACCCCTTTTGCGGTCACTTTATAAATTAAGAATGGAGAAAGGAAGCAAAAATGATTAGATTTTAAATAAGCCTCAGCATGTCTAAAGTTGTTAGGAGCCTCAGTCAACAAAATGCACCTCTGTATTTCCTAGACCGGCCATGTTGCCGGAGCCCTGTGGTCTGTGCTTTCCAATTTGATACACCTTTGCTGTTTTCTCCAATCAAAATCATTTATTGCAAATGATGTTTACAGATGCCTTTAACAGAATATGATACGAATTATAAAACTGGGTGGGATAACTCTAGTTGAACAGTTTCTGTAGATACTGCTACTCTCAAAGTCTCTTTTTTTCTTTCCAGTGAACTTGGAGAAATTCCCACGCTTAAAACACTACAAGTTTTTGGAATCGTGCCAGATGGTACCCTTCAACTGTTAAAGGAAGCCCTTCCTCATCTACAGATTAACTGCTCCCATTTTACTACCATTGCCAGGCCAACTACTGGCAACAAAAAGAACCAGGAGATATGGGGCATCAGATGTCGACTGACACTGCAAAAGCCCAGTTGTCTATGAAGTATTTATTGCAGAATGGTGTCCCTCTTTTTTTGGAACAGGAGAAAAAGGCAGGAACCCAAGTGCTAGAGCATTCTGCTGGTTTTAGTCTTGGTTTTCCCTTTGCCTTCATTCTGCAAGTATAGTAGGGAACCATATGAGAGGGAAACTATGAAGTCTTGCTTGTTTGAAATGACTGTCAAAGCTTGTGTCATTGCTTTGTTCTTAAGAGCTAAAGTTCTAGGCCTTATGAAATTTTAGGAGAATAAGTCTGTAATTTCAAAGATACTTTAAAGAACGAAATTTGAGCCACCTCTTCCAAGTGCCCTTATTAAGTCTGTTCAGAATCAATCTTAAAAATTACCACTGGCAGAGTTTCCATAGCCTGTGTGGTATCTTTTATCTATTTAACTTTTCAATATTGCTTTATAAGATATGACTTGGAAAACAATAAGCTATTCTGTATGTAAGCTAAACAGAAAGTGAATCATAGGATAGTAGAATTTGAGGCAATCGCCTCTGGGGATAAGGAAAAAAATACATTTTAGTTTTGCCTTTAAGTTGAAAATTAGGTGAAGAGAAATAAATAGGCACATGTAATTTACCTTAAAATCTAAATAAAAAACAAGAGAACAACCAGAGGTATAGAATTTATATAGGATTTGAAGGTTCAAGAGATAATTTCTTATGTCAGGTTAATTTGAAATATACTTTCATGTTCATTAAGGTACTGTACTCCCAGAATTCTAAATTATGTGAAAAATAATTATGTTTTTCTAACTTCATAATTGAATTATGTCACATGGGTTCTTTGACTTTTAAAATGACTTGCTTTGTTTTAGAAAGATTGTATTAACGCAGTCTCTATTCTTGAAGAGTTGCATGGAAGAATACTGAAGTAGCCTGCTGTTTTTCTTTAGTGCTGAGATTCTTGAGGTTATTTTTATATTATTCTAGAATCAGGTATTTTAAATTGCCTTTTTTTTTTTTTTTTTACTGGTCTCTTACAATAATTGTCTGAAGTGATTCATCTTATAGGGACCATTTAGGTATGGGACCTGAAGTTCCCTAATAAGAACTGTATGTTCCCTTCAATCGGAAATACACACTACTGGCAGGTATGTCCATGCAGTTCCAGAGCAGTAAGTACTACTTGTACCCAAGGGAAAGCTAAGGTTCAGATGTTGAACCTTTAGATAGTATCAGTGAATTTTTTTTTTTAAGTTGGTACATAGATGCAAAAAGATTAAATTCTTTTTAAAATCACAGAAAACTGGTTTAAATTGATGACCTCATATTTTTAAAATGCAACAAAAAAGCCAAACACATCCTTTCTATTAACTTTTTTTAAAAATCAAAATTCTTAAATGTTACATGTAATAGTTTCAAGTGCCCTTATCTGCTCAGACCTAAGGAAGAACATTTTAGAGTAGTGTTACACAGGAAATGATTATGCTTCGATTTCTTCGTAGGTAGGAAGTGCTAAATACTACTTGAAATTATTGTTTACAGATTAGGGCAAGGGCTGATGATAGTGTCAGGTTGGACTCTGACTTCCGGGAAGCCCTCAGACATGCAGTACTTCCAAACTCAAGTCCAGCCATAAGCTATTTTGCCAACGTGTCAGAGTAATCCATATTTTTGTATGTGATTCTACTTTTATAGACTTGTTTTAAATAAAACACATTTTTATAAAAATAAGTACTTCAACTAAGTTGTATTCTTTTATTCTTCCTCTTTTGTTCTTAAGTACTGTAGTGAAAATTAGAAAGCATTCAGTGTGGTATGCCATTTAGTTTGGAGGCCTGTGAAGTTCAAAAGAGAGCTTCAGAATGGTGCTTTTTGACCTCTGCTTCATGCTCATCAAATTCAAATTATAGTTGATGATGCTTTTTGCAAAGGTGCTAAATATAGGCTTATTGGCCCTAATGTGTTTTCAAAAGTAATATATAACGTTTGAATTCAAGTGATTAATGTGATAGCCAAATACTATGAATAAAAGCCAGCATGTAGCACTTTTTGAATGTAGACTTGATCCCCTTATACCATGTATTTTACTGTCATTCGGAGCCTACTTGAAAAGCTTGCTCTGTGCACAGAGGTCTTCCAGGAATTGTCTTTGACCTCGTCCATTTAAATGAGGTAAGAGTGATTCTTGACTTATGACCCAGTTTTGTTAATTCTTCCTTTACATCACTACTACCACTACTATGCCTCATTTTGTTTTTGTTTAAAATGAAAAATGTCAAATATATGCAAGTTATAGAAAATATGATAAACCCCATCATCCAATTTCAACAATCATTAATCCCTGGCCAATCTTACTCCATACGTGATCTCAACCACTCTCTGCTCCACACACACACAGATTATTTTGAAGCAAAACCCAGACCTATAATTTCACAAGTACTTTAATATATGCCTCTGAAACATCGGGCTTCTCTGGAATCAGTTCTGAAACATTAACTATCCGGATGGTGTTAAATTCCTCAGTTGTCGCAAATGTTTTTTTATGTAGTCCACACATTGCATTTGATTGATATTCTTGATCTTTGGATTCCTTCTTTTCTTTTTGCAGTTTTGACCCGCCACCCCTGGTATATGGGGCCGGCCCCCTACTCCTTGAGCCACAGGCACCACCCTGGATTCCTGCTCTTTTTCCCTTGTAATTTATTTATTGAAGCTGTTTCTTCATTTATACTTTTCCACATCCCAGATTTTGCTGATATCATCCCTGAGTGACACTTTGTTACTCTGTTCTCTATTTTCATAAACTGGTAGTTCTATCTAGCAGCGAAAAGCTCTAGACCAAGGGTGATTTTTGTCCCCCAAGAAGACATGTTTGGTTGTTAACAAGAAGAAAGGTGCCACTGGCTTTTTGCCAGTAGAAGCTGAGGTGCCACTAACCATCCTAAAACACAGGACAGCCCCCCCTCAACAAAGAATTCTCTGGTCAAAATGTCAGTAGTGCCAGCATAGAGAAATCCTGCTCCAGAGTGTTACTTCATCAGGTTCTTTACTTAGTAGAGTAGCATTCATTACGTTCTTCCATGAAGAGCTGCTACATCTCGTGTTCTTTATGTTAGCATCTGTCTCCTTTTTCATTTTCACTGTATGCTCTCTTGGGCCTTTGATTCTTCATGCTCTTGTACCCTATCCACAAGTTCCTAAAATATGAGGGATAATAAGCACATGCTCAACTTCCCTTCCGCATAAAGTGTTTTTGTCTCTTCTCTTCTGGTGAAGAACTCAATTGGATTTCAACATGTATTGACCATCTACAATATAAAGGATTCTGGGTGAGCAACAGCACAAGGGAAGGCGGGGAGCATTTGAGGAAAGGCATCAGTCTAGGAATTGGGAAAACTAGAATGGAACCCCTTGTCCCTGGGTACCCCAACACTGCAGCAAGCAAAAAGGCAAACTCCTTTTCTTCCCCACCTAGCCAAATATCCCAGAAGTCAAAAGGTTTCTACCAAGACACTAACCCTTCAAGATACAGGTCCAAGATATAAAAGCCTGTCGTAAACTCATTTTATGGACTTGGTTTGTGTTAATTTTTACATTTTACTGAATCTAAATATTAAAATGCCAATATTTTTATATTTTCCAAAATACCAAAATATCTAAATTGTAATTTTAGGCATTAAAATCATTATATTTAAGGTATTCAAATTAATATTTAAAATATTATTTTCTATTCAGCTCATTTAATCAGTGATTTTCTTAAAAAATCTTAAAGCTCATAAGACTAAAATCTCATTAGTCACCTTAGAAAACTTAACCCTTCTCATTGCCTTATGCTTGTAATCCCTCATGAGTATTCTTAATGTTAAAGTTAAGAATAAACTGTATTTGAAAATTGAGTTTTTCAACTCAAGTATTTTGCGATAAGAAATGTGTTAACTGGCCCTTCTTTAAAAAATGAAATCAATGTAAATTTTTGTATGTTAAGGCTATATACTTAGTAAAACGTGTATTATGATTTGTTGTATGGTGGCCATGACTATAAATACATATGGATTATCAAAACCACTGGGTCAAGATTGTCTGTAAAAGTCTACATTTACCAGGTAAGCATTTTGCCCACTAATTAAATGACCAGTCATTTTATGTCAAATGTCAGGAGTGTAGTCAGGGACACTGAATAAATATATAGTAGTGGAGAAAAGATTTTTGAAACATTTTGGGAAAAATGTGGTTTTCAAATAATTACCGCATAGGAGTTAAGGAAAAAAGAAATGAGGTTAAAAAGACACAACAATGGTTTAATTTTATTCACATACGGTTGCCATTAAAAGGTTAACTCATTCATAAAAACATTTTAGCTATTCTAACATCATTTGCTTCTCATTTCTTACAAAGAAATCCCAACCACAAAGCAGAAATGTTAGAAATTATATTTCAATTAGAACACATTAGGGTATGTTTAAAACCTTTTAAAATAACAAAACTTATGAACAATTTGTACATACATTACTTAACTAATATGTTACATATTCACAGATCTATGGTAACATTTGGACAGATTTTCTGGAGATTAAAGGAGTTGGCATTATTTTTCAAGGAGGTATTTTAAATCCTTTACATAAGTTTCTATAGTGCAGAATTTTATGTTTTGTAAAGCAATATATGTATTTATCATTAAAAAAAATTAAGCCATAAACTAGATCCACCTCTGGGAAAACACTGATTTTTATTTCTTTCTGAGGCATCGTACAAATTCTTTGCTATAAGTGTCTACGCATATAAAGTAGAACCTCTGTAAGCTTACCACCCAAGGGACTTTAACAAACTGGTCAACATACAGAGGTGGCCAACATAAGAAACTAGGCCTGCTGTACTGATACATACATGTGGTGCACGTCTGGTCTATGAAAATTAGATCAATTTAATTAAGGTCAATGTAGGGAAGTAGTCACCTCTGAAGGTTCTACTGTACTCTGAAGAAAGGAAAAACAGATTCTTCCGGATATACATCAAAACTTAGATTACCTTTGTACACTAACATTAAGAAAAGGTGATAACAAATGTTAAGTGTTGGCAAAATTAAGAGCACTCAATTTCTATTTATCCTAGCTTACACAGAATTTACTTTTGAGTTCACTAGTGTCTAATTCTATAAGGATAGACTCTACGTACTCCAGCACCTGATGTAGTAGTACACGACATAGAGTTGGTGTTCAATAAATATCCATCAATGATTGAACAAAAATTTTCATCAGCAAGTGAAAAAAAACCACGTAACTTGGAATAAATGGCATGAGAATACTATTTCTTTATGCAGTAATAGGAGCTTTCTGCAAAAATTATAAGGTTACTTATAAGTAGATCAAGAATTAGATGAAAATAATTTCCTCCAAAAATAAAAGAATTCTCACAATGGGGAAAAAAGAAAGGCTGTAATATTTTATCCCACAAAACTATCACATAAAATTTGGAATATAAGCTAGGTGAAAACCACCATGATACCATAAGGTAATTCCAAAACTACTGAGTTTTACATATTTACTAAAGCATCTATGCTGTTTCTGACACTACTACTAACACTAGATAAAAAATGTTTTTTAAGATTTTAACAAACTTGTAATACAAAATGTTTAATCAGTTTATCCTTTTAAGTCCTTGAATCCATGTTAAGAGTCATAAAGATGGCAAAAACTTATGAGACTCAGAATTTTTTACAAAATTGATGCTAAAGCATCTATTGGATAATTAATACATTTGTAACAGTATCATGATTTTGTTCTGATAAATGTATTTCACCAGTCTGGTTGAAATTAACCAGAATAACCTCAAATGAAAACATTTACCTATAAATGATTTCAAAAATGATTGTTTGAAATGTTTAAATGAATAGAGTCATAACAATACCACTGTATTCTGAAATTAGAAAATTCTTAGCACATATAAAAACACATTTACCTATTTCAATTAGGTCAATGTCAGGATTTATCAAAATTCTCCATCAAAATTTTTTAAAGTCTTGATTTTTAGGTACTATAAAAAATAGACACTGGTCAAATGATGTGTTCTGACAATTCCACAAAGTTAGGAAGAAAGGTAAGGAAAAAACACTTATACAGTAAAATTTCAAATCCTAAACATTTAATCCTTTATTTAAGCCTGCTTTCTCTAAATTTAAAAAGGTAAGAGTCTTCTTGGTTACCAATTGCAAGCAATATAGAAATTTCACTGTTATCAATTCTACTCAGTTTAGTACATCTGTTTTCTTACATACATAGTAAATATCTCTTTTCTGTCTGAATCTAACAGCAGAATAATACAAATCTCACTCTTTGTCACCTTTGAGCCCAGGGGCAACCAGTCTCAACAACAATCCAAAAATGTAGCTTTATGACTGGTAGTCTGTTTCTGCTTTAAAAATATTTTTCCAGTAATCAAAATTTGTCATGTGAGGAAATTCTTCACTGATCTAGAAGCACAGTTCGAAGCTCATCTTCTTTATTGATCATCATTGAAGCAATTGCTCCATCATTAAATTCAAAAGAAGTTCCTCCATCCACAACCATACACGCATCCCAACAACGAGAACGAACACAAACCCTAAATGGAAGAAAATATCTCATTAAAAAGGAATCATTTTCTTAATCCTAAGTAATAAGTTATTTAAAACCCTGAATTTTAATCTAAGCTAGCAGATCATTTGGCCTTGATTTTAAAAATCAAGTTGTTCTTTCCTATGAGAGAATTAGTAACTATGTAAATATATGTGTACATTATCAAAGTCTCAAAATTACTATGTTCAAGAGAGCACCATTCACATAAACATGTAGCTGTACACAAGTGCAGACCTAATGGAACTCAAAGGCTATTTCATAGGATGGGATGTCATATAAAACTATTTTCATGTAAAATATTTTAGTATAACATATACACAAATTATGAATGAATAGCTCAATGAACACACTTCTGTAATTATTACCCAAATCAGGAATCATGTGTTACCCAATTTGCCTGAAGCTCCCTCACTGTCCTCTCCCAGTTGGTACCTCTGCTCCCTCCCTCCCCAAGAATACCCACTATCTTAATTCCTATCACTAGTAGTAATCGCTTTGTCTATTCTTGAACTTTACCTAAATGGAAGAATACAACACGTACAGCAGTGTCTGGCTTCTTTTGCTCATTAGTATGTTTGTGAAATTCATCCAATTTATTGTATGTAGTAGTAGCAAAATGTTCATTTTCAATGTTGTATGAAAATCGTTCCCTTGTATGAAAACACCAAAATTTACATATCTCTTCTACTAATCATGGACATTTGAATTTCTGGCAATTGGGAATAGTGCTGCTATGAATATTCTTGAATTCATGGTTTTTTTGGCACACACATTTCTGTTGGATATAAACCTTGGAGGAGAATTACTGGGTCACCATGTATGCTACATTCAGATTTGATAGGTAAATGCCAAACAATTTTTCCAGCCTGCATATTCCTAATAGTGATATAAGAAAGTTGCATTGTGGTATATTCTGGCTATGAGCCTATTGTTGGATATAGTCCTGCAAGTATCCTTCTCTTTTTTCTCCTTAATGGTATCTCTTTTTGGTTTTTTGTTTGTTTTAGGAAGGATCTTGCTCTGTCATGGATCCTAAAGTATAGAGGCTCTGTCATAGCTTACTACAGCCTCCAACCTCTAGGCTCAAGCGATCCTCCTGCCTTGGCCTCCCAGGTAGCTGGGACTATAGGAATATGACATGCTGCCTGGCTAATTTTTCTTTTTCTTTGTTTTTTGTTTTTATTTATTTATTTTTTGTTGTTGCAGTTTTTGACTGGGGCCGGGTTTGATCCTGCCACCTCTGAAATATGGGATTGGCACCCTACTCCTTGAGCCACAGGTGCCACCTAATTTTTCCATTTTTTGTAGACATTGTGTCTCACTCTTACTCAGACTGATCTCAAATTCCTGAGCTCAAGTAATCTGTCTGCCTTGGCTTCTCAAAGTGCTAGGATTAGTGGTATAAGCCATGGTACCTAGCCTCTTAATGGCATCTTTTGATTATTTAGCAGTTCTTAATTCCAATACGGTTTAATTTTTTACACTTTTGTTTAAGGTGCTTTTGATGACATGTTTAAGAAATCTTTTTCAACCACCAAAGTCACAAAACTATTCTACTTACATTACCAAAAATTTAAATCTTAGAAGTCTATCTCTTTGAAAGATCTTTGAACTCTCACTTAAACTGAGTGTAGATTTGTTGATTGATCAAAATTAACTTTCAAATGATAAAGTGAATTTGAAGATGAGTTTTCTTATTACCGTCTTACCTGGAAAAAAATCAACTGTATAGTCATAAACAGAAAATTTGTATAGTGGATGGAGGTTATGAAACAGATGACATTATCTCATAATGACAGGTTGTTTTCTTATTAGTTTGGCATACTGGGAAAACTTTACAAAATAAGAAATTATATTCATTTTTGTATATCTTCTCTCAAAAATAATAAAAGGGTGAAGCAGATTCAATAGGCAGCAGTCTACCTATTGAAAAGCTAAAAGAAATCAATCTTTCTCTAGGAAGCAGGAAAAATTAAAAAAAAAAAAAGAAATGAATCCTTTTCTAAAGGTTTATTGCTATGCAACTTTTATGTTTTATATGAATGTTTCTCCTGCTTTTAGTCCATACTTCATGAAAAAAAGATGTTTCCTAATCAGCTTCTTTTAAAATGATTTAATCCTACTATGTCTTGATATGTGTATATGTGTGTGTGT